AAGGTGACAAGAGCCTGTCGAACCCTGCACCCGCGGTTCCCTGAAACTCCATCAGTGACCGCACGAGGCCGCTCGCAATGCAACTCACAGTGCGCACTTGGCTTGGGGCCGGGTCTGACTCGCTCCGCTGAAACCGAGTATGAAAGATAGCCTGCGGTGGCGGCGCGCTCTCGTTCCTAGCCCGCCGCAGAAACCTCGCGCCTCCGGAGGGGTGGTACCTACATCTGCAAGACTCGCCGTGATCTGGCCGGGGTCCGTCCGCGAGCGCGCCCCGCTTCCCAGAAACTGCGCGTCGTTCTGACAGACCCGAGACGAACCGCGGCGCGGCCGCTGCTCCCTGGAGCCTCCAGGCCAAGGATGTAAAAAAGCGCCGCCGTGCGCGCGCGTCAGCCTCTGGTGATTCAGAGGTCGGGTACACTAGCCGCCGGACCGCGCCTCCGAGTGTTGCGCGTCGCGCATCCCGCCGAGGGGGCGCGCGCGCGCGGTGGTCCGATGGGCGTCGGATCTGGGGCGACGATGCGCGCAGGGGAGCAGCGTGCCCTGTGCGCCGGAGGCGCAAGACGCCGGTGGGCCCTGGCGCAGCACGGGCGAGTCACGGTGGTATAACTCACAGCCGAGGACGAAGAGCGGGGCGTAGACGGGGCTTACGGTGCTCGCTCGTACGTGTCCAGGGCGGGCGGAGGGTGCAGAGAACGGGCCGTTGAGGTGGGAGGCCCGAATTCGGAATGTGGATGGTGTTGGGTGCGGTTCGGACGGCAGGCCTGCAGGGTCGGGTATGCGACAATGAGGCGCGATCGGGCGGGCGCTCGGTCGCGACGCCGGAGTGGTCCTGGGGCGTGGGTGCGCGCGCCGGAGGTTGATACGCCGCACAAGGAGGAGGAAGGAGGAGGAAAAGCGCGTGAGGGGGCCTAGGGCGGGGCTGGTTTGATGAAAAGGCGGTGCCGGGAGCAGTGCGGGCGAGGGGTCAGGCGGTGAGATGAGGAGGGGAAGAGGGGAGGAGGAGGGCGAGACAAGGTCCGTGCTTACCTAACGGGGGGCGAGGACCGCCAGCTGGAGGGTCGGGTGGAGGATGAGCAGTGGCGGGGGACGGAGCGCAAGGCACGGCTTCGACTGGGAAGGCGGTGAGGGCGGGAGGACAGATACTGCCAAACGTCGAAGATCCGTTGCTGGATTGGGGTCGAGATGGATGAGGGCAGCGGTACTGCATCCGGCGTGGGAGGCCGGCCGCGAATTGGGCGTCGGCATGCCCACCATCTGGGCGAAGCACGGGCTGCGGTCAGAGGACGGCAATTTGGTGAGTACGCGCGGAGCGGCGGCGAGCACAGATGACGAGAGTCCCGGTTTCGAGGTCGTTCGGGCTCGCCAAGGCCCGAGTCTTGTCCTCCAGCTCGCGGAGTCCGTCCCAGCGGCTATCGGGATCGAGCGCGCGGACCAGGCGCTCTCGGGTGCCACGGGCGCTCTTCGGCTTCTCCCGCGGCCTTGGGTCCGCGCCCGGCCGGGAAGGGGCCGGGGGCGGGCAACGGTCGCCGAGGGAGGATGGCCCGTGGTGGCTTTGCAGTGCGCAAACTACTGGCGGTGGTTATTCCGGCATCCCGCCCCATCGCGAACGGCCATCTCTCTCTCGTGCTCGTACGGAGGCCCCCCCGCGCGTGTGTTACGGCGGTGACCCGTGCTTGCAATCGCCGCCCATCGATGTTCGCACGGGCGGCCGCCTGTTCGGCCCCGCGCTCGTTGCCCCCCTCGCTGGGCCAAGTTCCTCCGCCCTTACTCGTTTGACCAAACCGCGACCCTGAGCGCGGGCGCCCCGCTCTCCTTCGTCCTCGGTCGGGGGCTCGCGAGATGGGCGGACGGCAACCGCCCCCATGGCCAGGGCTCCCAAGCCATGCGCGGTGCGGTGGCAGGAAACGAGGGCCAGAACGCGCACAGACGCCCACCCACCGCGCTCGTGGGCGGGCCCGCTGATCCCCCCAGGCGGTGCACATTGCGCGACGTGGGCCGAGACGCGGGGCCACGATCCATGCCTCTCCGAACGCGGCGCACATTGTTTTCTGGCCCCCCGTGCTGGCAGAAAGCCAAGGACCTCCTTTTCGCCTCGCAGCGCTCTCTCGAGCGGCCGTAGACCGGCGGACCCCGCCCTGCACGGGTCGCGAGTTTTGCGCCCCCGTCCTCGCCTCGCGTACCTGCCTCCCGACACCGCCCGACCCGCCGCCCCGCCGCCCTGGACGCCGACCGTAGCAGAGGGCGCGCACCCCGCCGCCGCCGCCGCCGCCACCGCCGCCACGCTCTCGCAAGCTGCGTCTTGTTGCCTGCTACCGGCGCGGGGGCGGCTGCACCTGCGATCGACGTCCCAGACGGGGCGACCCGCTCTCAAGATTCCACTCCTGCCGAGCTCGCTCGATGGGACGGCGCCGGGCGACCAGTCTGGATCTCGCCTGAGTGGCGGCGCTGGACGAGGCGCTAGCTGAGGCCGTTTCGAACTTCGATTCGCATCGCGCCCCCCGCCAGACGAGCGGACGAACGCGTCTGCCATCGCACCGTCACGGAGGCTAAAAGACTAGCGTGCGCGGGCACTGCTGTAACGGTCTGTCAGTCCCCGGGAGCTCGTGGGCCCGCGGCCTGGCAGGTGCGATCCGCGACGGGCGCGCCAAGCCCACCGCCGGGCCCGTTTCATAGTACGTATGTAGAGTGCGTGTGCGTGCCCCTGTATCGACCTCCCCGATGCGCCTCGCTATTCCGTCGCTCCCCGTACAGCGACGTTGTGTTTAGAAGCAATCCCTCGCCTCGGCCTTCCACGAGACCAGCTATGGATCGTCCCTCGTAAGGGAGAGAATCGTATGTCGTCTACACCATTTAATGCAGCCCCAGTCGTTGTTACATAAGCAACCGCGACGGCCCGGCACAGGAGCGCCAAACGTGCCGCCGCGGCCAGACCCCGAGAAAAGCGGAGCACGAGTCCGGGCGACGCGCGACGCCCGAGCCACCGTCCAACGGGCTCAACACTTTTCCCGCCCGCGATCCGGAGTCCACCGCGGCACGGGGCGGCGGAGGGGCAGATTCGTTTGCGCGCGTCGACGGGGCTGCGCGGAGAAGAAGACGACGACGGCGCGAGGACCGGGGCCCCCCTGACGAGCGAGCCCGGTCAAGCATGCGCCCGCGGAGACCGGCGGGCACGCACGCCGGCGTGTGTGCTGGTACGGGGAGCGGGTGCGGGGGGGACGCTTCGGTCGATGAGAGCATGTGCGCGCCCCAGTGCCCCGCGAATGCACGTCGGGTCGCGAAACCCCGCGTCACCAGATCCCTCGACGAGCGCCGATCGGCCGCGTCCCGTCCGCGTTGCGGAGAACGTCGACTGTAGAACGCGCCCGCGCCGGGGGAAGGGGGAGACCCGTCGGCCTCGAGAGTCGAGCTTCCCCGAGGCCCAGCGCGCGTGCGTGAGCCGAGGGGAGCGTCGCGACCGCGCGACCGAAGGCGTCGACGAGAGCGCGGAGGAGGCGAGATCCGCTCGACGGAATCGCGCGCGACGCACGGTTAGACGGACGCGCTACTTCCGCCGCCTCGAGTCGAGGCTCGAGGGTAATCCGCCCCGCCGTCGGCACGCCGCGCTTCCCCGCACGCGGACTCCGGCCCTCGAGCTTCGAGCTGAATCCGAGCTTCGAGCCTCGAGCTTCTCGTCCGGCGACGACGACCGCCGGCGGCTCACTCCGTCGCGCGCCAGCTTGAACGGGGGTGCGATCCCGCGTATGTGCGGGCCTCGACGAGCCCGAGCCCGAACCCGAGCCCGAGACCGTGGCCGTGGCCGTAGGTTATCGTAGTATGGACCGCAGCGCCCGCGGGGGGTGGTTCCCTGCAGGCCGCAGCGGTAGGGGAGACCCATTTCGAGGCGGGCCTGCCGGTCGATCGGCTCCTCGAACTTTTGGGATTCGAGCGACGCACGAGGCTCGGCCTCTCGATGGTTTCGTCGGTCTTGACGAAGCGATGGGCGGTGCTGTGTCGTGGCGCGGCGCCGTCGTGGGCTGCAGGTTGCGAAGCGCGAGGGCCCGAGGATGCTTATATGCAGCTGGTCGTGGGTTGCATCGCGCGCGACGCTGCAGCCCGTGCAGTGTTTACCGCAACCGGCGCCGCGCGCGCAACCAACGGTGGCACTGCGCCCCCCACCGGACGTCGCTCTCGTCCCCGGTCATCAGAACGATCACTATCGTTCGCGCGCCCCACCCAGCCCGGCGATCTTGGGGACGGAGACGACCCCGAGCGCGTCAGCCCTATTTACCTCAGCACCGCCGTGAAATTGAATTCCGAAGTATTGGCTGATTGATCGCGAGGAGGCAGACGAGGTCAGGAGCGAGCGGGTTGCGTGATGATATAGCGGCGGGGGTTACAGGGCGCGACAGGCGCAAATAAAAACGTATGGGCACCGGCCAGGCAGTCTACTACGGGTACATGTATGGTAAGCGATATGATAGTGGACATGGGACGTTGCGCGACAGGGGAGGTGCGAGAGCGGGGTCGTAATACGTACATCAGTGCGGGGAGGCGGGATGCAGCGGCGACAGCAGGAACCAGAGATGGGCCCGGCTGAGATCCGGGGGAGGGGTAGGTCGATAGCGAGGCAATGCATGCGATTGGGGTGCGGGTGCGAGAAGAGAGGGGAAAATGGTATCATGAAGAACGGATAGAGCCACAAGGAGATCGAGACCGAACATACAACGGGTGGTAGCACACTGCGACTATGACGAGAGCCCAAGAAGGTGCGCGCACCGCGGGCACGGGTTTTGCGATACGCGCGCGGCGCGCGAGGGAGAAGACGGCGGCGAGAGCAAGGGCGGCGGGGATGTGAGGCTGGGAGCGAAGGGTGTGTGTGTGCTAGGCGCGGGAATTAGCGGCTAATCTTACGCTACTTTGATCCTAACTGTCCAATCAATCCAGTCCATTTACGACCCTCCCAGCGTCCATGTCGCCCGCGCCCTCGCTGGCTGCTGCTCTGACGCACACGCCCCTCGTCCTCATTGCGGCGTGGCGTACCCAGATCCCGTGTGCGGCCCTGGCGAGGCCGAGTGCTCAGGGAAACGGTAGCTTGCCGAGTCATCCGTGCCCGGGGTGACGACCCGCGCACCGGGGCTGCCGCCTTGAGGTGCGTGGTGACCGCCGCTCTGCGCGTACCCCGCGCCCGAGGAGTACATGGAACCCTGCGTGCCCAGGTAGTGACCGTTGTTGTTGAAGTAGCCTGACGAGCCATGGTGCTGGGAATGGGCGGAAGGATGAAGCGTCCCGCCTCCACTGCCGCCATACGACATGCGCGTCTGCGGATACGAGTCGGAGAGCGCGTACGGGCTGTGGCCGTGCCCGTGGTGGCCAAGTCCGCCGAGGTTGCCCGCGGTCGCGTTGCTGGACGAGAGGGATCGCGTCATGCTGACCATATGTCGCGTGCCGGTGGGGGAGAGGTGGTGAGGCTCGCCGAGCGACTGGAGAGACATCGGGTAGTAGAGCTGAAGAGAGTCCACCGACATGCGGCGCGAGGGATCGAGAGGACCGCCAAGGCCGCCCATACCGGGCATGCCCATGCCCATCCCGACGCCCGCGGGACGCGTAGCGAAAGGGGTCGTCGTGGTGGGACCCGCCGCGCTGTGACGGGCCGGCGCGAGGATGCGGCGTCTAGCCTGTGTGGGGTCGGGCGCAGGTGAGCAAGTATTACATGGCTATATGCGCGACGGGAACGAACATTGATCATCCAGTTGGAGACCTGGCTCATGCTGAGACCAGTCGCGTGACAGAGCTGCTTCTTCTCCTCCTCGGACGGGTAGGGGTGGTCCGAGTGCCTGTGCAACCAGTCCTTGAGGAAGTCCGTGACAGGCTTGGGGAGCTTGCCGCGCTTGCGCTGGGCCTGGGGCTGGGGCGGGCCGCGATCGACGAGACTAGGACCAGTAGCGATGCCCGGTGCGGAGTGGGGGGAGCGGTCGGGAGAGTTGGTGACGGAGATGGAGGGGTTGGACGGGCCGGTGCTGGAGGTGGAAGGGCTCATGGCGAAGTCGGGGGAGGAGGTGGGGAAGGTCCAGTCGTGCTCTGACTTGACGGCAGGCAGGCCTGGTTGGGAGGCGATGCGGGCAGAGGGGGTGCGGTCGTGTCCTGCTATGCGCTGAACTCCGGCAAACATGGACTCTGGGCGAGAGTCGTCGTACTTGGTCGCACTGGGGGTGGAGTTGGGACGAGCGATGGAAGCCGCGTTCCAAGAGCCAGGATCCGAAAGGTTCGAAGGAGAACGATTGGGGGCGGAGAAGCCGGGAGTGAGGGGAGAGAGGCCGAAGGAGGAGGAACTTGCGGCGGAGGTGATGGCGGTGCTGGGGAGAGAGGAGAGGTCGCTGGCGGGACCGGGGAAGGGACCGATAGTGGTGTCGAGGCGGTAAGGCCTATCGGAGCCGGGGGAATCGAATGGAAAGGCGGAGCCGGAGGAGAGGGAGGGGCGATGGAGGGGGTAGGGGAGGCGGTCGCGGGCGGCCGAGTCGGGATAGTGTAGAGTGGGAAGGGACGCGCGCCGGAGTTCGTGGCGGTCAGTGAAGGTGGCGCGAGAGAGGGGAGCTGGACGCGGGAGGGGTCGAGGTCTGTGATCGAGGGGGCGTCGGGGGTATCTCGATCGGACCAGGAGGAGCGTTGGTCTGCGCGGGGGCGGTTTGGGAGGGGGGAGCGCTCTGGGGAGTCGAAGCGGTTGTCTGGACGAGAGTGGAGGCTGCTGTCCGAGGTGGCAGAGCTGGACATGCGGCGCTGGGCGTAGTCGATGTCGAGAGCGTGGGGGGACCTGGGCGCGGAATGAGCGTGTGTGCGCGGGGGGGACGCGGGGGAGGCGGGGTGCGCGCGAGAGAAGGAAAGTGCGTACAGGAGCGGGTCTTGGGCGAGCGGGCCGGGGGCGCGAGGCTTGTCTTGCTGGAGGCTGTGGGGGAGATCGGCGGGAGGACAGGGGCTCAGCGAGGAGAGACGTACTGGAGAGCGAACTGGAGGGCGTGGACGTTGTACTCGTTCAGGGGGGCGGCGAAAGGGGGGAGGGCGTGGGCGGGGACGTCGATCATCGAGAGCGCGGGGCGGGTGGGAGAATATTATAACGCGTGGAGGACGCGTCGAGGATGGCCACCGATGCGTTGCAGATGCAGATCGAATTCCATTTCGCCCCGCCGTGCCCTATTTATCCTTCCCCGTCACCGCTTTCCATCGTCCCAACCTTGATCTCGCCTTGCCTCTTCGGCACCCCGCCTGCCAATCACGGTCCGCCCGCTCTCCCGGGCCCCCAAGGCACGCCGTCCCGAACGAGATGGCTGTGCTTCTCGACCCCTGCAATTAATCACCCTCCTCCGATTCCGTGCCCAAAACCTTAATCCCCCGCCGGCCTCCTTCCCACGCCCCGGCTCCCCCTGTCTCGCCCGGCCCCGCCGCCGCCGCCGGCCGCACGACGGCGCGGGGCCGGGAATGGGCATATTGCAAGCGCCGGCGTGCTTACCTCACCTCCTCCCCCTTCGCACTGGCCACCGACCGGCGCCTGATGCTCCGTGTCCGAGCCGGCCGAAGAGGCGCCACCGGTCTTGTCCACGGCCGTCTTGTTGGCCCCGCCGCGCTCGCCCCGCTGGGCTCGGGTTCCCTTCGCGCATTGCGTTCCGCTATCGGTGCATCAGCCCGACCTCTCTTCGTGCTCGCCATCTCCATCACGCTCCCGTTGAAGATCTTTCCGGCGACCTCACCGCCCATGTCAAACAGACTCCGTCGACGCTCGCCGCCAGCCTCCCGCAGCCATTTCCACATTGCCGCACGCCCGTCCGTCTCGTCCTCCCTCGTCGCTCTCTCGACTTTGACAACTTCGTAATCTACATACCGTCGGCTGTGCGCCCCCTTCGCGACCCACGCGCTCCCTCAGATGCTTCCGCGTCCGGCCATCCTACTTGCGTCCCCCACCGCTGCCTCGTCTCCATTCCTCATTCCTAGTGGCTGTGGCCTGTGGACCGTCTCGTCGCTACGGGCCACCGAACTGTCATGAGCATGGACGCGCCTCCCCGCCCCCACGCCCCCGCCCCACCCACGCTTCCCAGCCGCCGGCCCCAGACACCGACCGCAAACGCAAACACAAACGCGAAGCTCACGGGAGAGCGCGACGTGCCGCGGCGCGCGTGCGCTGTCGTGCGCTGCCAACGCTGTCGCCGTCGGTCCTGATCGCCCTCTGCCGTGCACGCCCAGACCGACTGAGAGCTCCTCGGGGATCGCTTCCTCCTCCGATGACGCCCCTGCGCTCCCACTGCGCCTCCCCGCGCGCGGGAATGTCGCGCCGCCGGCGACATATGAACGTGGATGCGGAAGAAGGGCCTCCCTCCCACCCCCCAGCGGTCGCTCGTGCGCCCAGGCTCGCACTCCTGGGGGTGACATACCCGGCTGCAGGTGCGGACTGCGCCCGCCCGTGGTTTTCGCGAGCGAGCTGGGAACCGAACGGAGATGGTGGTGGTGTCCGTTCCGTGGCCCGACCCGGTTTGTGGTCGCGCGCAGGGCCCGCGCGCGGACCTAGTACGTCACGTACCTTGGCCGTCTCCGGGGCCAATGCAATGCGAACACGAGACGAGACGCGCGCGCGGGGGGAAGGTTGGTTTGGAGTGTGGTTTCATGTAGCCAGGGCCCCTGTGGGGTGCCCACAGTCCTGTACCTGATAGAGTGCTACCAGCGTCATGCATTTCCGCCCGCCGAGAGACGAGATTCATGGGCGCAACCGGGCTGGAGGCGGTCGTCGCCGTGGATGGACGAGGGCCGATCAGGCGCGCTGATTGAGCGCACTTCGCGTAAGTACCCCGCCCGCGCGCCTCGGCGCGTACGGCGGGTCGGGTGCCCATGCGCGCGTGCGCCACCAACTTGTGCGACACTGGGCAGGGCTCGGCGTCGCCCGTGCGCACTTGTCCGTCCGCCGGGATGGCGTTCAAACGAGGTCGGGAGCGCCGCGTCGAGGCACGGCGCCGCGCGCGCGGACGACGTCCTATACGGCGCGTCGTTCGTAGGTGGGGCATTAGACGGGGTGGGCTCGAACGTTCCCCCGTGATCCTATCGAGGGCGGCATCAGCGTCGTCGTCGCCGCGTTTTCAATTATTACGGCCTTAAAGCCAGAATAGCCTCCCGTCCGCGGCGTGGGAGCTCCTTTCGTCTGAACGATCGCAGACGGGCGCGGCGTTCGTCGATCTGGCGTTCCGCCGTTATGTCGCGGGAGGACACGAGATTTTGCGACAGCTTTCTGGTGCGCGCCGCGGGAAGGACGCAGCAAACCGCAGAAGCGGGCTCGGGGGCCTCGGGCTCGCGCGGGGCCTGGACCCTGCGCCGCTCTGGGGAGGTGCGACGAAAAGGGGGGCGCAGGAAAGGCTGAGGTGCGCCGTGCCCGCCCGTGCTCATCGTGGGTGCGGTGGGTGCGGGGGAGGCCTGGCGTGGCGCCGGAGGGTGTGGTGCCAGGTATGGAAGCCGAAGGGCGACTGTGTACGTCTGATCTTGGATGCGTGGGCGGCTCCGTCATGTGAAGCAAAGGCATCGCAAGGCCCCCGGCGAAGGCGATTGCATTGCACGCGCGCGCGAGGGCGGTGCGTCCAGCCCGGGGTCCGCGCGCGCTGACGCGAGTCCCGTGTCCGCGCAGAGGCGCCACTTGTTCGAGGGCCCCACGGAGCTGCGCGTGGACCACGCGCGGAGGGGAGGGGAGGAGAGGGGAGGGGAGGGGAGCATGCGCGCACAGCCCTGGCCGGGGACGGAGGCGAGGCTTGGTGTCGCGCGGGAGATCTGCGTGGCCGGGGCGGAAGCGGAAGCGTGAGTTCAATGGGCCGCGCGAGTCCGGGCGGGGCCACGGCCAGGCCTTGGGCTGAGCGCAGATGCGAAACGGGTCCGAGGTACACGCCTCGGAGCGAGCGCGCGCGCGCCAGGGGCGGACGACCGGGCTTTGGGAGAGTGCGTGAGGCCGGGAGCGGGAGATCCAGGTTTTGTGCAGCCAGGGCCGTGGGGGGCGGGGGTGGGCTAAGCCGGCGGCGGCAGGCGGGGCGGCGAGCGAAGGGCCGACGGTGGGTGCAGAGCTGGCCAGACCAGCGAGCGCCGGGGAGATATCGATCGTCGCAGGAGAGCTGATGGAGGAGAGTGAAGAGGGAGTCCGTCGGAGCAAATGTTTACTCGCGCGGAGCACTCGCGGAGCACTGCTCCTGCCCAGTTCCTGGCCGCCGGCGTTCCCCGCTCCACGGCTACCGGCCCGGCTTCGGCGCGCGCCGGGAGCCCTGGCCGACGCGAGTCCTTCCACCTCGTCCACGATGACCCTCCGCCGACGACCCTCGGGAGGCACGCACGGCGCAGGCTGACGCTCTCCATGTTAGTCGCCAACGCTCCCCTCATAACACCCTCAACCGACGTCACTCCAGCGGCTCAGCGTGCAACAAAAGTGCGCCTGTCTGATCCCTGTCAACCCCTTCCCCGACTCCACTACTCATTCATCCTTCCTCCACATCCCGCCGGCAGCACAAGTCGCCTATCAGCTCACCGCCACGACTGATCTACTGACCGTCAACAGTCCGACTCGACACTAGGCTCTCTAGTGGCCTCTAGTATATTGACTCGCAATGACCGCTCACACTGCGGCCCTCGTTACGGCCTCGCCTTCTTCCTCCTTCGGTCCCCCGCAACCTACTCGCGGCAGAAAAGAAGCCCTTTCCTGTTCTTTCATTAATCCGCCCATGCCTCGAGGTTGCCAGTCTCCGACCCAGCCTTCTCCGGCGCTTCTCCGACGCCCTGCTTTGATTCATCATGTCACCGGCTTCCTCACATCTATCCACCGGACAGTCCACTGGCGCCCGTTGCGTTCATTATCAGGCCCGCCCGCCGCCACTTTCCTCCGCTCGCGCTGTTCCTGCGTGACCAGACAGCACTCAGTCATTATCGCCCTCGGCTACTCACGCCGAGGGCGGCCGCGATCCCTCTTACGGCCGCCCGAAACCTCGCTCCCGGCACCGCCATCCCAATATTAAATCCGCATCAGATTAGCAGGCCAGCTGAGACCTGCAGCCCGACCAGCTGCACGCCCGGGCCGACTTTGATTTCGCGGCACTCTCGAGGGGCGGCCGCGCGCGTGCCGCCGAATCTAACCATCCTCGACCGGGTCCCCCGAAGGCCCCCGGCTATGTCGTCGACGACCTCTCCATCTGTCTGCCTGCAGCAGCCCGCGGCGATCGTGCTATTCGCTGTCCCCCGGGCGAGCGCGGCGCGGGTGCGGGTCGAGCAGTCCGTCTGCGGCGCAACCCGACAGGCCATCCTCGCGCCAGGGTCCTCTGGGTGGTACCCGTTTCGTCGCCGCCGGGCTCAGCGAGCGGAGCTGTGCGCCCTTCGCCGCGCTCCCATGCTCGCCCCCCCCCTCCCCCCATGCGGTGCGCGCGCATGCTGGGTACGTGGCTCCATCGTCACACACTTCCAGGTGCTTCTGCGCTCACGTCCCGTCGGCGGCTTCCGAGCGTGCCAGACCGAGGACCCAGCGGAGCGGTGCGCGCACCAGCTTCCGATACCGTGCCATGCGCTCCTGCACGAGCACGATCGAGCACGGGTTCACACCCGCGAGGCTTGCGCTTGCTCGTTCTGCGCCGCGGCAGCGTCCCTCGATCGACACGCCCCCCCCCCACCCCACCCCCCCTCGAAACGCCGCATGGCGCACGGAGCCGTCCGAAAAAGCCCGCGATTATCTAATCCGGGCGAGGCCTCCTCCGACCCCTCCTCGACCCCTCCCGCCGCCTCGTGCGCGGAAGGACGAGGGACACAGGGCTCGGAGAGGCCCTGCACGTTCGGCGGACCTGCGCTCTGCGTCGGGCGCAGCCGAGAGCGGCGCTGCGGGGGTGCCGTCACGGTGCGGTTGAGTTCGGGCAGGACCAGGAGAGCGGCGCTGCGGTGCGTGCGCCGTAGTCTGCGTTCGCGGTGTCGCATCGCGGGTAGAGACCGGGCGTGGCTCTGGTCCGTTCGCGACGGAGGGGGCTAACTATAGGACATAACCACGCCGACTGCGTGGACGGTCGGTGGGGGGGCTGCGCTGCGTGGAGAGTTCCAGGACGAGGGATGAGAGAAACGGACGAGAAGGTGGGGGAATTGCGAGCGCGCCGTCAGCCTGCTACGACCCCGCCCATCAGGCTTCGATGCTTCGTTTACTAGTGTCGGGAGCTAGAGCACGTCATTATGGAATACAAATTTTGGCCGTCGGCGTCGTGGGAGGCTGAGGGTCGCGGGAGAGGCTAAACGGCATGCCTACCCGCACATCGGCATTGAAGACGGGAGAATGGGGCGCAGTGTGTGTGGGGTTCGGTGAGTCCGGAGTCGGGAGCGGTCCAGCGGTATGCAGCGAACGCAGCGGTGCTGGACCATTTGGCCTTCCCGCAGCTCTCACTGGTACTTGTTGTCCGTGCATAGAAACCCGACCGCGACCGGAAGTGGGCCGCTCAACGCTCATGTGTCGGACGTTCGCTGCCCCACAGACACAGACAATGCGGCACCCACACCCACACAAGAGGTCCAGGGGATCAAGCGGTGGTTGCAGCCATCGTACGTGTCCGCAGCGGCCATTGGCATGAGCGTCCAGTTGGCCATGTTCTCTATGAAGGTGCCCCCTTGCTCTCCAGGCGAGGCGGTGCTCCCGTCGTTCCTGACTTTAGCCTCCCCACCCGTCATTGCCGGCGCGCGAGCCTCTTGAAGCGACGGCGCGGCGGAGATCGCGAGCCTGGCCCTCCTCCTGGGAGATCAGGAGCGCACGCCACGCAAGAAGCCTGTATGGGGGCGGGACGACAGGTGGCATTGGCGTGCTGTGGGGATCGTCGGACTTTTCGCGTGCGGGCGGTGCGCCCGGCGTCCGACACGGTTCTCGTGCATGGCAACACGAGATGGGGTCGGTAGGATGTGCAGTTGACGTGGTATACATGTGTGTGCGGGGGTGCGGGACTGGCGAGCGGCGGGTGCGAGAAGTACTGGTGGATAGCATGGCGATAATCGGAACCAACAACAGATGGGGCAGTAGATCGTTAAAGGTACGTAAGTAAAGTCCGGGAACGAGAGCGTTCTCCCTCAAGAATTGGCGAGTGGAGACGGAGACGCAAGAGGCCTCGAATGTACTCGAGACGCGCTCCATGGACGAGAGGAACTGTTTCGACTCACGGCACTGAGGATGGGCTTGTGGGCACGGTAGCTCGGCGCAGAATTCACTCTTTCCCCTCTACAGCCCGTCGGCGTGCCTACGTCCCCGTCGGGCTAGTGGACCTGCAGCGGCAACCCAAATGTCTCCGTCGGCCAGACGCTCAGCGCTCGGTGACGGAAACCTCCCGACTTGCACCCCCCTGTGCCTTGGGCCCGAATACATTGCGGATCAGGCGCTCTGCCTTGTCCCGTTCCTTGCGCTCGACCTCAACGCCATCGAGCAGCGTAATGCGTGGGCACGTGCGCATGACAAGCCCGCGGTACGCGAGGCGCCCGATGTACGCCTCGTCGGGGAGGTCGCGCCGGAACTTGGCGTCGAGCTCGCGCCAGACGAGCTCGTGCCGGCCGCGCTCGCGGCGGGCGGCGGGCTCGGGGGCCAGCGCGGCGTCCGTGGAGGCGGAGACGGTGGAGGAGGCGGAGGGCTCGGCACGGGCGCCTGACACACCCGGAGGGAGCGCCGGGCGTGGGTGCCCGCCACGGTCGTGGCCCTCGCGAGGTGAGCTTGAGCTTGAGTTTGGATGGCGAGAGGCTTCCGGGCCTGCGCCGCCAATTGGGCCCGGACCAAGTGCTGGGTGGGCCATCGCACGATCTCCGTCGGACGGTTGCAGTGCCCCTGGGGCGTCCTTGACGAGCAGGGGGAGGTACCAACCGAGCGTGCAGGGGTTCATTCTGCGAGGGCAAAACGTGTGTTAGGACGATTGTGGTGGGGCAGGCAGCAGAGACCGAACAGCGGAGGCCGGTCGGGGTGCGGGAGCGGCAGAAGTCGTCGTCGGAATTCCGACCAGACGAGGAATGATAAAAAAATGGGCGAAGCAGCTCGGGAGCGCGGTCGGCACGATGAAACACGCAACATGCACATTCATCGAGGTGCGGCTAGTGCCTATCGCGGGGGAGCTGGGCCGCAAATTGCGAGCCAAGATAGGCATGACGACTACCCAGCCGGACACAGGGGAGGGAGCGGGGAAGGGGCACGGTGGCCGATTCTAGGCGCGAGCGGCAGCGTTCACATGATGCCCGCCCATTCATCGGAGGACTATCTTCTCACACACATGGGCCGTGTGCGGATGACCGAAGCGAGGATGAGGGCCATATAGCGGGGAGCTCACCTGAAATCAATCATCTCGAGATCCTTCATGCCCCGGAGCATACGGAGCAGCTGCTTCGCGCCCTTGATCCGCGAGCCGATAATCGTCAGCTTGCGGAGGCGGGAGAGGCCATCAAGCGGCCGTGGATCCTCGAGGAAGTTGTAGTTGAGGTTCAGCACACGGACATTTGGCACCGTGCGTGAGAAGTCGGCAGGGAGGGTGATCAGTCGGCAGGCGGCGAGCTCGAGGTAAATGAGGTTGTAGCATGGCTCGGAGAAGAAACCAGGCTTGAGGGGATTGCCTGTATCGTCAAGCGCACCGCAGATACGAGTTCGAGGTTCAAGGAATGATTGATAAGCAACCGTGGACCCCGCGCACAGCCTCATCCAGTCCGCCGGAGAGATCTGCGCGCAAGTGAGCAGAAAATGACACACCTGAGAGATACAGACGCTTCACATCACGCACGTCGCGCATCGATAGCGACCTTCCCAATATCAGGCACATGTCAGTGATCCAACTCGTCCAACGCCGAAAAGACGCTCACAGTCCGCGACCACTCTGGTTCCGTAAGCTTAAGTTTTCAAGCTTCCCAAGCCGATGTGCCTTTATGATCTGGCCCAGGTTATTGTTGTCCGCGTACAGAGTGCGAAGATTGGGGAACGGCGAAGCGTTGAGCGTTTGCAGGCGGTTCCCGCTGAGCCGTAATATTCGCAGACGGGGCATGGTTACATCAGACTCAAACTCTCCGAGAGCGTTGTTGTCTGCAGAAGGGCACATTGTTAGCTTCGGGAAGCAGGACGCCGAGAGTCGAACTGTCACCTCGGGCATCGAGGATCTGACAGGAACGAAAAGGCGTCTACTTCGTGCGGCGGGCGCGCGACTCACCAAGATTAAGCGCCACCAGTGATGGGATAGACGCAAGTCCTCCGACACTGTTTATCCTATTTTGGCCGAGACTTAACATCTCCAAGCGGGTCCTGTCCAATGAGCAGTCATTAATACCACGTAGACAGACGTGATAAATCGAGTGGCGCGTCGATGAGGTGAGGAAGATCACGGACTTGTAGTAGTGCCGCTCAAAGGGTGTGGGTACAGTACTCACCATCTGTACTCGTGAAGATCAACCACTTGGAGTGCATTCTCCTGGACACTCAGTTTAATAAGTCCGTCCATTTGTTGGAGCCCGTCCAAGTCGGCGATGTGATTGCCGTCAGCTCGTAGCTCCCTGAGATGATGAAGACATTCCAGATCTGAGGAGGTGAGTATAGGGAATCACAACGACGAGCTGAATGACTCACGACGAAGTGAATCAATTTGGTTGTGGCTAATATCCAGATTCTCGAGGTTGAGCAGATGGCTGAACGACGTCACGCCGGAGAGCCTGTTCATCACCCTAAGTGAATATTTTTTGGACGCAGCGGTAACCAAGCCTATACATACATATTCGAGGCTACGGACAGCGTGCGGACGGTGCCTGGCACGCCACTCAACCACGAGAGCTGATTTGAGTTCCTGCGTGAGAGTCAGCTGCCTATAATGGGACAAGGGACGTCGAAGTGATCCGCGGAAGAACGGTGGAGAACCAGACATAGAATCTCGGACTTACAACGACAACGAATCTAGTCGAGGAAGAAACTCCTTCAATCGTGCGGTGCTGTCGAGATTCCTGTTGGAGAGGTCGATCGATGCAAGTTGATCCCAATAAGGCTCATATGGTTGTACGTCCGTGATCACTTTGACCAGTCGGTCGTGGGTGACCGCGAAGCTGCATTCCGTCAAGAACGTTGCGTTGGCACCTCCGACTGCTGAGGGATGTCCCCGGGAGGACAACCGCCGATGTGTTGAATGATCGGTGTCGTCGTCCGTGTTGGGGAGCGAGCTTGTTCGTCGTGGCTGGATCACACTCTGGTTGAGGGGACGAGACAAAGAGCTGGCTTTCGAGGGTGAATCGTCCTCGAGGTCTGTAGAAAGAGAGCTTGAACCCCTGCAGCGGTTGAAAGTCCAAGTATGCACTTACCGGTGTTTTCCAAGTCGTCCAGCATGGCTGCAATCCGGTTCGTTCGCGCAGAAGGAACCAAGTCAGCACCGTGGGTGTCACGTGAAGTCGAAGGACCGGAGATGCCCTCGTCTCCAGACATCGTAAATGCCGGGGAAGGTATATTGCGCCCAATCCCGATGATGGGGCCTTCTCGTTTGCCGTCCGAGAAGCTGACAGACCGTCTATGACCACTGCGGTTGGCAGGGGTTTCGAACTTCGTCTGGTTGGGGTTCTTGAGAGCGGATATGGGCGTCGCACTCGTGCTCTTCAGGGCAGACCTGGGAGCAGGCAGTGGCGTGGCGGCGGATAATGGTTGACGCAGATCAGGAGACGCCGTAACGAGGAATCGTGGAGGAGTGTCGGCGAACGCAGGTTCAAAGGCAACATCATTGAGCAGGCCACTCCCGGAACCGTACCGAGGCTGGAGTTGAAGGTCGAGAGTGGCTGTCGGTAGTGTCCTCCCGGTGTCCCCATCCGTGGGCGCCTCACTGTCGGTGTATGACGTGTCCTCGTCGTCTTCTCGGGTGTGCATTTCTTCAGGACGTATGAACTCGTGCGACGGGCCGTCCGTGGAGAAGGATGTGAGCTCGGCCTCCTCCACGTCCTCGATCTCCTCTTCATCGAGCTCCGCAGGGCCAGCCGTCCTCCCTCGCGCCCGGGTGTCCTGGTGATGCTGGGGTGGGGCAGTGTGGGTGGGAGAGTCTTCGTCTTCTTCCCGGAAACTCTCGATGTCGCGGAATGGATCTTCGCTGTCATTATCCAGGTCGTCCTCCGCATCGTACCCGTCTTCTTGTACCTGCTCGTCCGGCGCATTCGCGACCACACTGGCCTTGACCCAGCGCATCGTGACCCGGTCGAACACCATCTTCCCGACGCGCTCCGGAAGAGCGGGGACATCGTTGGGCGTGATCTGCATCATCTGCTTCGGTCCAGGATGCTTGACGAACGACTCGGCGCTCCCGGTGGTTACCGTCGTGCCGGACGCGGTGCTCGAAGAGACGAATCGCGTCATGTCTTCGTTCCGCCCGATACGAAGAGAAGACGAGGGGTACGCAGGAACAGAGGGCGGTGCTAGTAGACCGGGAGCCTGTTTTGTGGGAGAACCGGATGCGATAGATGTGGATGCAGAGACCACGCGGAGTGGGGGAATAGCGGGTGGAGAGGGAAACTGGGCAAGGACATGCGAGGACTCCAGAGACATCTGTGCGAACCCCGCGGTGAGGTTCTGAGATTGGTCTGCTGACGGGTGAGCGGAATGCGTGGGGCGGATGGCCATTGAAGGCTTGCGCGGGCTGGAGACGAGTCGACTCTTACCGCGAGCGCTGCTGGGGAGGCGAGCACCGCTGAAACTTGGCTGTCGACGACTCGAGGGCAGGTCACCGGAACGCCGTGGTTTGAGCAATGCGGGAATGTCGCCGTTCTTACTACGGAGGGATGGGACGGTGTCGTCAGGATTTGCAATGGACATCTCCGTAGTATCGTCGTTGCGGAAGTGGGAGGTCTCGGTCTCGCCCGAGAAGAGTCGTTTGGAACCCTTCATATCATTCCTGATCTGAGCTAGCAAGCTAGCGCCCTGTTGCCGGTATGCAAGGGAGGAATAGGCAGACCGTTTCGAGGAGTCGACTGTTCCGGTAGGTGAAGGATCTTTGCTCGATTCGTTGCCACTTGGAACAGTGAGGAATGCCGGCCGACCTGCACAGTGCATAGGTAAGTCAATCGAGGAAGGACGCGCATAAGGGGTAGTGACCTGCGTCAGGTTTCGCGACGTTGACAGATGGACCACGACTTTTGGGTGACGACTCCGAAGCAACAGTGGAGACAGTGGAGAAGTCCCGCGCTTTGCGAATTTGCTCCATCAGGTTTCGAGATTCTCCAACGTAGTCTCGTCGTGAATCTGGACGCATGATGGCCGCCGCACCGTCACCCATGTTGTTGCTGAAGTCGCTGGAGGGACTGAGTTTAACACGCTTGGCACTGCGCAGCCGAGAAAAGCTGGTCTCGTTGACAGGCGACAGACCAGATGGTGTTGATCGGAAACTCCGAGGCGCAGAGCCGCCACCGTCTCCGGAGGGGGTGTTGACCGCGATGGAGTCAACCATCGCGGAGAGATGATCGCGAGTGAAGGTGTCGTACTGGAACTGGAAGAGGCGGAGACGAGGATCGGTTCCTGGAGGGTTCAGATTCCGAGTGCCTCCGCGTGGACCGGGAGTGCTTTGAGCATCTGGAGCGGGACCCGCGGGGTTGAAGGGGCTAGGACGGGGAGCAGTGAAGGTAAACTTGGACTGCGCTGGGTCTGCAGCCAGTAGTCCGGGAGCACTGGAAACACCGGGAAGATGTGCCTCTTCGTCCTCGTCCTGGTCGGGGATGGTTTCCTCGAAAGAAGACTGCAAAGGAACATGGACCTGAGAGAGACGTGAAGGAACGGGAGGAGCATTGTGGACGTGTGGAAGGGCAGAAGACGAAGGGTGTGGGGGTGAAGGAGGCTCAAACATCTTCTCGAGCGCGAGAGGACTGAAGAAGTCCTTGATAGCGGCTTTGTTGTTGCGACCGGGGGTCTTTGGAAGGAGATGTATGGCGGGGATCTCCTCGCGGATGACGAAGGTGCCCCCGGAGGCATCTGAGGCAGAGGCCGCGCTGGGAGTGCCAATGTCGCTGTTGCTGACGAGGAGGGAACCGATAGGCTGTGTGAACGAGAGCTCCGAGCCAGACTGATCGGGGTCGCGAGATTCCTGCTCATCATCCCAATCGATCCATTCGTCGACGTCAGCAAGCTCGTCGGTCAGCCAAGCGGGCGTAGGCTGTGTGCTGGCCATGCGGGCGCGCGCAGGAGGGCGCGGCGGCAGGGAGGGAGCGGGAGGGCGCGAGCGGAGTCCGGAACGGAAGAGAGAGGGAGCAGGTGGCGGGGCGGCGACGGCGACACGAGCCTCGCGTCCCTCGCACGTGACCGCTCAACTGTGGGTCCGTATTTGGAATCTATTTGGCTCCTCCAAACACGCGCAATGCTTCAGCCACAGACGTGTCGTCCGTCAGTCGGCCGTCTCCGCTACCCTCACTCGAGCCTCACGACGTGCACCGGATAGCATGTGTGATTGTAGATAATAGAACAACACGAGTATGTTATGGAACTGACACCAATCCCCAAAGCCGCCCGTCCAACATCTGAGACCACCGTCAACAAGCGGTGGCTTGTCAGTGATAACTCCACAAGGCAGCAGAAGACACTCACCCTGCGTCACCGGCAACCCGCTCAGCTTCAACAGCTCAAACAGTCACTACGAAAGCGACAAAACACCAAAAAATTCTCGATGGAGCATTTCACGGGCCGAAGCCCGCGCACAGTGCCTGATCCGCACACTCTCGAGCGCGCCATGACCATGGCGCACTCCCCCACATCCACTGCCAGCCTTTGCAGGCACCAAACAACCGCGCACATCTTCTGATCCCTGCTCCTTGTACTACCCTCAGTTGCCCAAGAGGTTCCACCACCGCGCCCTGCAACCCACATCCTGGCCGTGCACACGAAGTGCTCGTGAGCGCTTTGGGCATCTGAGAACTTTGTCGTCTGAGCGTCAGCCTGGCAAACAAGACGACTCGCACCCCAGTCGAGCACCCGAAGGCGCCCGCTCAACGCACTGCTCGCCGTGTACGCTCTTTGCCCACCAGTCCACACCATCTTTCTGCGTGTGCAACCTGCCAGACTCTGGAGAGCGCAGTCGCTGGATGTAGTGTCTCCTCCCTAGTGCCCTTACATACCGCCTGTCCCAACTGCCACACGCACACCGTCGTCAACGTCACGGGAGAACACCGAATTGCAACCGACTGCAAGACCCGGACCTCCAGCGAAATCGAGAACAAATCTCTATTGAGGTAGCCCGAAGGAACCACAAAGTCGCCATGAGGGGGATGCGTCAGACACCGCAAGACGGTCCGTGGACAAGTCGACAAGATGGGGAGAGCAGGAACGACGGAGGCAGAACACCAGATCATCAGAGACAAGACTCCTCACAACTACACGGACCAGATTTCTCATGTCCAGCAAGATCAGGAAAGAATGGCATAGAACAAGCGGACAGCGAGCGAACCGCGGGTCTCCACAGCGCTGTCTGAGTAACGGGAACACGGAATCATCTGTCGACCGGGAGGATATCCCAGGTGGATGCAGACAAGATTCTACGCGATGCACGCCCCCGAAGCCGAAGAATAGGGAAGCTGAATCATCTGAGCGCGGTGAAGATCGGGATTATGCGCGGTGGGCAGCAGAGCCCGCCTTCCTGTATGGAAGGACGGGAGTTGGGGGCGGCAGGGCAAGCGTGTGGACGCTATGCGTACACGGGGCCGAGGCCCACATGCCGCACATCCGCGTCCGCCTGTGCGTAACGTCCAGGTCAAATGCACGGACGACCATCCCTCGAACTCAGCGTCTCTATCATGTGCACCCAGCGACTGCCCAATCAACACTGCGTCTCATATCCTCTCTCATCTTCCTGTGTGATGAACTGCAAGAACCACGTGCAGCCCCAACACCTCTGAATCCATAACCACCACCACCACGGTGCCATGCTCCTTTCGCTGCGCAGACCCACGCTTTCAGGAACCTGCGCTGGGCGACAGTCGCCCTGAGACGGGACGACGTGTCGCACAGCGCCACCTGCGGCGAGCCAAAGTCGGCACAAATGTCACCGGGTTTGGAGAACGCCCCGAAGACAAAGTCCGCGGAACGTCTTCCGGGAGTGAGCCGAAGCTCGGCCTCAATATGCTCTGTGCGTCTGCTCTGCTACTCTGGCGAGTGGAGGCATGCACAACAGACGCATCCGTGCGAAGAGAAAGACGCGTAGGGGCACTGGTCGCAAGCGCAAAGAGGAGGAGCAATGGAAGGCAGGGTGACCCAAAGTCTGTGCGTAGCCAACCAGCCCAGTCCAGACGCGTGTTTGCCACCCCAACGTTCGGAGTCCGCTCGTCTGCGGGAGAAGACTCATGAAGCCCGCGACGCGTTCCCTGGTGGCGGTCAATGGGATCCGAAAGACCCCGTGAAGGAATCTCGCGCGTTCCGGCGTCGCTCGCCCTCTTGCAACCTGCTTCCCGACTGCGGAGCACGGAAATGCTCTGTGCGTGGCAGCCTTAGGGAAAGGCGAGGAAAAAGACGGGGTCCCGAAGCGACACTAGCGGAGATTTGTACGTTCCCCAGGGGTCAATGGACGTCACTCAATGACCACCACTTTCCGAGGATGCGATGGAGTTCCTCCCACAGAGTCCTCGCAGACGAGTATATGGGTGGCATGCGAGAGGGGGAGGGCACAACCTCATATGAACCAGACGACGTGAGCGTGCGCACCTTTGTGTACCTCCCCGAACGCACGTTCCCGAGTGGCATTGCTCGACCACGGGTATTGCATCCAAAGCGCGTACACTCCGGAACATATGTTGAGCATGATTGATGTGCAGTAGCACTTAGGTTAGATCGCACTCTAGGTTAGAGTGGAACTTGTGGCTGAGGCGGTGGGGTGGTGACCGGAGAGGTGAGGGTAGGACGGGTAAGCAGGGGCCTGGAGCGATGAAGGCCATGGAAGGGCAAGAGAAGAGAGGAGGACGGCGAGCGAGAGAGGAGCAGAGGCGTGTCATGTCGGAGAACGCGTGAGTCGTCGTCGGGAGGAGGAGGTCTGGTGGAAAGCCACGCCAGGCGCGTCCGACGCGTCTTAGGGCAGCGGTCACCGTCACGCTTCAGCCACAGCCGCGTCGCGAGCGTGATGCGTGACCATCCGCGAGGGCGCGTCTGAGTGGGCGCGTCTGTCTACAGCACGGTCGCGTCGTGCGGGTCCTCCTCTGCTCGGCCTCCATCTGCCCTCTTTGACCCTCTTCTCCTCTCTGATTGCGGCACATGAACGGCAACTACCACCCGCATCAGCAGAGGCCGCAGTACGATCCACAGCAAGATTCTTCTCGCCATCCGCCATCTGCAGACCCTGTCCAGGACGCTCACCAGCTCCTCTCTGTTTATCCTTACGCCTCAGCTACACCTGCGAACCACGGTGATTGTTGTTCATCACAGCATATACACCTTGTCGTAACCATACTTTTCCCATAGTTGCAAGGCACCTCTCAAGTCTATCGATATCTGCCTCCCCGCCATCCTACATCCAGCCATACTCTTCTATTCCTACTAATACTCCGTACCATCAACCCCGATATCCTCAATATTCGGAATATGCACAGGAATTTGCGCATATATTGAACTCCCAGCAGTCCTCGCAGACCGATTCCTATTGGGAGAACACTCGTAACGATGCAGTCTACCATCTTGCTGGTCAAGCTCCGTTAGTGCCTTTTATTTCGTTTGTATCATGCATTGTGAACCCATGCACTACAGACTGTACAACCAGTCCCAATCGCTCCCACAATGGCCTCCTGCTCAAGCTCGCCCCTCGTCCTTCCAACCTACACCCTTCGCGCAGTCAGTCACTCGGCACACTTACCCATCTTCCTCCTACCCTACCCCGCCGCCACCCGGAATATCTTCTTCCTCTTCTTCGCTCGCGGGTGCGCTTGGTCCTCCCCTGACCAAGCCTCAGAGGCAAGTATACCATCCTCAAGAGTCTCCAGCATTCTTCGAGAACTTTGTGAATCAAACCCCTCAACCACCTCGTGCTGAGCCTAAACCCTCCGCCGCACCCGCACCGTTCCACCACTCTCAGCTCCAAGACTCTCATCGTCAACGTCCTCCTCAGCATCAGCTTCATCCGCAACATCCTCCTCAACCCCGTCCCCAGTATCAACCGCAATCTTCACCCCAGTTTTTACCTCGACCTCAACCTCAACCTCAGTCCTCGTATCCCCCTCAGCCATCGCAATCTCAGACTGCTTCCGCATCTCAGCCACCGTCTCACACTCACTCACGCTACCACCTTGAGCCAAAGCCTGTGCCCCGGCCTCGGTCTGAACCTGAACCGACGCCATTGGCCGATATCCCGTCTGTTGACTTGGGAAGCCCCGACCCTATCGCAGTTTCACGACCAGCATCGGAGTACGTTCTCACCCCCGGCAAGCGTAAGCTTGCGCAGTACTTCGACTCGCCCAACAAGCGCATGCAAGTCGAGAACCCAAGTCAACTCGCCTCGCCTCGGGAATCACGTCAGACTCTTCCTCGTCCAGCTCCAAAGCACAAAGTTCGGAGACCCAGTCTCGAAGGACTATTCCAGTCCCCGACGAAGCCCTCCAAAACACAGGGTGCCCCTTCGCCGACCAAGAAAGCAATAATAACCCCGCCGTCGTCCCAGCGTTCCTCTTCAACACCTTATGCTGCACCACCTCGTGCAAAGGCGTATCATACGCCTACTCCCAAGCACAAGGAGAGGCCGCAGGTCGTCATAACGACGACGACGATGAGCGCGAAGAGTACAGGGAAGACGAAAGGAGGCGACGATGACGAAGACTTGGGTGGATTCGGGAGCGACGAGGATAGTGCCGCGCCTCAGTATCGGCGGCCCACAGGCTCTTCTCCTCACAAGGTGTCGGTACGGAAGGCGACGGGCGACAGAGATGCACGAGGTGAGTAGATCATTCACACCAATTGCTTCCGATGTTCATGGCAAACACCCCGCAGTACCGCTGGAGAAGTTCATCACGTTCATGGAGGACATATTCGAGGCCGAGGATGCGCTGCTCCCGGACATCGAGCCAGAAGATCTCCCCGTGGAATGGTTCTCTCCTCTGAGCGTGCAAGGAACCCCGCCCTACCTCCATCCCACCCTTATGCGCAAGCTCACTACGCACATCACCAAAGTCGCTCGTCCGAGCAAGCGTCAACGACTTGGCCCTCGGGACGCCCACGGTGTATCGCAAGGCGTGGCACGTCAAAACGGTCGGATGGCAGATGTCGATACCGCTGCGTTGAGTCGCCTCTTGAAGATGCTGGAGCGTAGCGTTCGGGCAGGGGAGGACCTCGATCCGTTCCCTCCGTCTAGCGTCCATCCGGCAGGCACCCAGAAGGCAGGGAAAGGGAAAAAGGCCAACGGGAAGAAGAGTCATGACGCCGCGCGAGGTCGGTCTCGATCACCAAGTGCACAAGAAGGAGGGGATTCCATGGATGTAGACGAGTCCCGCTCAGAGCAGGCGCCGGTCACGGAACACGACGTCGAAGGGCTTACTCGGACGTTCGAACTCGCCAGAGACAGTGTCTTGGCTGCAGATTGCTGCATCGCGCTCCTGAGCAGTGACCGTTTGCCCAAACAGGTGTGTACCCTTGGCAGTGAAAGTGCACACACGCTGATGAAGCACTTATGTACGCTCTAGTTGTACTCGGAGGAACTGATCACGGTATCTTTGGCCACGGTAAAGAACCAGTTGACCAAGATTCTCTATCCTTTCGTAGAAGCGTCACCTTCGGATCTTCAGCTGCCTAGCCTTTTGAAGGAGCTGATCGGCAGGGTATCCTCAGCGGACAGCGCACTGCGGCAACTCCTCACAGAGATATTCCAAGCAGTATCATCGATCCTACCGCGGATCAACGACTTGATTTGTGCGGACACTATGGCCATGAGCGAGAGCATCATCATTCAAGGGGTGTATATCGCTATTGGGCCGTTCTTCGTCGTCGAAGCAGAAGGTGAAGGCAAGTCGAAGAAGGCAGCAGCAGCGCACAACGCGCTTGGCGGGAGTGCAATGAGGAGTCTACGACTCGACGCGCTTTCTTTGATTCGCAGCGTTAGTCATATTCAACTTTGGTGACGTGCCTGGCGCTAAAAGTAGTCACAGATTTTTGCCAATCACGAAGACCAGCGCTCCTGGATCATCGAAGAAATTCTGTCGTCACTGATTAAACTGTCGGACACGAAACAACGTGCGGGACAGTTCCGGTAGGTTATGTTCAAAAGATGTTTCGTGCCCCTCTAACATTCTGAAAGTCTCCGCGATGGACGTTCCATTCGGACAGTGTCCGCTCTGTTGATGCAGCTTGTCCAAACATCGTCCCACGATGTTCGCGTGGAAGCTAGAGTCATTCGTCGCGCGCGCGAGCAAGCATCAGCATTGCGTCGCCAAGAGAGTATCAGCGAACCACCTCCGAAGGAGCCTCGTCTCGATGAGCATGACGTCGCTGAAATCAAGTTGTACGCATCCGGGTTGGACTCCGCCACGAAAGCCGCGAAGACCATCATTATTTTCCTCACCCAGAGGTGAGTGTATCTTGTCCCCAACATTCTCATGACTCACACCCTTGCAGGTCCGGCAAGACTAAGACTACCAAGAATTCCAACGAGGCGGAATATCGCGCAATCTTCGACAACCTCATTTCCGACCTTCTTGCAGTCCTGTTCTGGCCCGAGTGGCCTGCGGCGAGCTTAATTCTCAGTCTCATGTGCAAGTTCATGGTTCGTTTTTATGCTAGTTTAGTTTGTTTATACTCATTCATTTCTGCTCTTACTTAGGTCTCATCCTTGGACGACATCAAGTTGTCGACCCAGAACGATAACAACGCGGTGAAGACGCTGGCCCTGGACCATCTCGGTGTCATCGCTGCGCAACTCCGGACCAGTACCCTGAAGTTCAAACGGGAGTCTCAGCCCAACGGCATCATTCCTCTCGACGAGGCGCGTAGTCGTGCTTCATGCTATCACTACAAAGCTGACGATGCTGCGGGTCCAGATCGTCAACTCTTTGGACTTCGACAAGCTTCGTGCTTTGGTAGTTGCTCATCAGGAGCTCCATCACAACCTCTGTCGAAGGTCTGCAGAAGATCAAGCCTTTGACGTGAGTACAATCCATGGCCTGTATGCCTCCGAGTCGCTGACGCGCCGGCAGAGCGCACGAGAACTCACAGCAGTGCTATGGGGGCACGAGCTCGCGTTGATGCTACAGCATTGCGAAAAGCTGTTGTCAGAGCATGGCGACGTTGATCGCAAGTTGGTGAAGACCATGGTCAAACAGCTGAAACTGGCTATGCGAGGGGCATGGGATCAGCAGTCAACAGACATCTTCGACCCAGAGTAAGCAGCATATCATTGAGGGCGTGGATGTTAGCTTACCTCGCTATAGCAACTCACAAGAGGAGATTGTAAGAATTGACAGCCTCTCTGAGGAGATCGGCACCTGCCAGAACCTCAAGAATTCTTTCAATCCCATCCTGGGAGTCGTGCTTCAGGCGCTCGACGCTCCCCCCGTCTTCATGCGGACGAAGGCTCTGAAGGCCCTTGGTCAGATCGTTACCAGCGATCCCAGCATCCTGTCGAATCCGAGCGTGAGGAGAGGCATTGAGACTCACCTGCTCGACAGCTCCCCTGCTGTGCGGGACGCGGCTGTCGAACTTATCGGGAAGTACATAGTGGACTCGCCCAAGTTCGCTGCAGACTACTACCAGAAGATCGCCGAACGGATAGCGGACACGGGTCTCGGGGTCCGCAAACGCGTCATCAAGTTGCTTAAGAGTTACTGCAATGTTACTGAAGACCGCTCAACGCGCATCGACATTTGTACGCGCATCGTTCTCCGCATGTTCGACGAGGATGACACGGTGAAAGACCTTGCTGTCAAGACCATTGAGGAGCTCTGGTTCGTCACATCATCGGCGGCGTCGAAGACACATTCTACGTTCCAAGACAAGTCGGAGCTTCTCAACAAAGTGGCCATCATCATGAGCGTTGCTGCCCAGTTCAAAGACAGACAGTCCCCGCTCGAAGATGCTCTGCACCGGATAATGGCGGACAAACCCGATAACGACAAGCCAGCGCTCCACCAACGCTATGTCGAAGTGTGTGAGACGCTGATCGACGGGCTCGTTGACGCATCCGACCTCCCCGGATTTGTAAGTCGCGTTATTCATATCTTGTGTTCACGGATATTGATCAAGTATTAGACTGTCTTGAGCTGCGTGCAGACCATCTTCCTATTCACCTCCGCTTATCCGGCCGTGCTCTCGGGATCCAACGCGGCCACTCTACTGCCGTATCTAAAGAATGCCGTCACTGTGAGTCTCGTCGCTTGGGGTCCGTACTTCACCTAACCTAGCACACTAGGTCGAGGAGCAGACTATCTCCGACTACTTGCTACGAATCTTCCGAGCGTCGATCCCCCATATGCCGAAGACAGCAGTCAAATTTGGACAAGAGCTGCAGCTGGCTTTGCAGCCCATGATCTTGAAACCTTCGTCTGCTGCGGGTGTACTGGTATGGCGACTCTACATTGTGGCGCGTATAATGTATAATGGAGTCTTCGTAGGGTCTGCAAGAGACAGTGGCATGTCTATGTGCGACCGTCCACTACATCACACACGACTTCGGCCGACCAGTTGCTTTGCTCAAGTCTTGTAACCGTACGTGTCTGTCCATATGACTTTGCCCGTATTATAAATACCCACAAACTTCATTTCTAGTTCGATTGCAGCAATCTATTCAGAAACCGGCCGCGCAAGCCCTCTCGAACGCCGAGCAGCGAACGTTGTCAATCCTCTTGTTCATTATCTCATTACTTTGCGAACACTGCAATTTTGACCGTCTTCGAACGGACGAAGAGAGTGAGCCAAAAAGTTGTGTTTGAACAAGAACAAAATCTAATCACGGCTCTTTCAGAGTTCAAGGATGATATCGACAAAGTTGCCAAGGTATGAAAACCACCCTTTTATGTGCACGCCTTCCTGACATTAGAGAAGGGCTCGATTATTGAGCACGTGTACAAGTGTCTCCTGAGGCTCTACGAGAAGTACGAGGACCAAGGTCTGAGAGCTCGCATTCTACAATGCTTAGGTTCGTCGGCGATATCCTTCTCCGTCGTTCGGAATTCTTACGATCCTCAGGTTTCCTCTTCCGCGCCCAACCGGCGTTGATGACGGCTGAACCGTCTGCGAAGATCATGGACACGATCTTTTCGTCTCCTGTCGAAGAGACCCGTGGACGATTGTTGAAGATCCTGCAGGACTTCTTGATTGCCGAGGCAACGAAGCATGCAGCCACCGAGAAAGGTGGTTTATGTGCCCGTTGATTTTCGTCCTTATGCTCAGTGCAATGTTTCATTCAGCATCGGCCAGCGTGAGAGGCAAGACAGTGATCGGCAAAGTCAATATGGAGGAGCTGATTGGTAACACTGATGGCTTTGCTGACTCTGGGTATGCGAGCTTACCGTTTGTGTTCGAAGCCGTTCCACTGATAGTTCTTCCTAGTGTCAGCTCTGCTATCGTTCAACGATATCTTGAACAGATCCTTGAAGCTGCTCTGTCTCAGAACGGTCAAATCCAGTCAGCCGCGGTTGACATCCTCACTTTTACCATCAAGCAGGGGCTTGCTCACCCTCTCCAGTCGTTCCCTGTCATTGTCGCTCTCGAAACCAGCCCTAGCGTCCATCTGAGCTCAAGAGCGAGCGCACTACATGCTATCCTCCACGCCAAGCACACCTCCCTTCTCAACGCGAGGTATACCAACAGCGCGCGCGCTTCCTTCGACTACCAGAAACGAATCTCAAATGGCGCCTTAAAAGGATATCGCATGATGCCGAACCCGACTGCCTTGCTGCACCGGTGGTACACGCTAACCCGCGAGAAGCGAGCAACACGTCAAGACTTCTTGCGTGCACTTGTGAAAGTCTTCGATGTCGAACTGGGCAAGACTACACAGGTGGGCTTCAGCGCGAAGATCTTCAGGCAACGCGAGCTGATGTCATCTATCAGGACGATGTGGAGTTTACACGGTACATGGCTGAGAATTTTGCGACGTTCGAGTACAAGACACAAGAAGAGGCTCTTACTGTGGTCAAGTCCTTGACTGCCATTCTGTCGACAGCCGGCATGCAGTTGGTCGAGCTTCTCTCGCCGTCTCATCTGCTTGCTCAACTTCATGGGCCGAGCTACTCCCAGTTGGCATCGCAGCCTCCTGAGACTCAATTGTCCATGTCCGATACGGCCATGGAAGTCGATCAAGAGCAGTCCACCACTATGCAAACGGACACTGTCGCTGAACCTGTTGAAGCTTCCAAGACTTCTGTCGTTGCCTCACCCGTGACCATTCAGCATGACCTGGGGACGCTGCGCAGCTCCGTTGTTGTCGCAGTGATCATGCTGCTTAAGACGCATCTCAAGGTCCTGTACGGTCTTTCGGAAGAGTACGTATCCCAGCATCTCGTGCCAGTACGCTGTGCTGATCGGCACCCAGGAAATGCGCGAAGTTCGTCATTGGCAAGAAAAGCGCAGTTGGAGACCGACCGGCAGTGCGTAAGCACGAACGGCCCATACTGTGGGACGCTCTTCCCTTCGCGACATCCCCTATGGTTACAAGCGAAGACTGTGCAGCTCAGACCACTAAAGTGAGCTCCTTCCAACCAGGTTGTGATAAAAGTATCGTATTCATTGGACGTCGCAGTTCTTGGAGGTTTGGAGTGCAGATGGTGTCTCGGCGGAGCCCGAAGACGACACCGCGATGTTGATGTGAATATCCTAAGAACTGGTATAATGCGGGTGATAAATTATCTGTACCATCTGTAGTTGTCGTATGTGCTCTCCTCCACTGGACTATGCTTTCGGTGTAACGCGGTGATATACTGCAATGTAACGTCCCTGGACTAATATAATGTAGTCTACCCCATCTCCCCCGTGCTTGCCAGAGGTGGTGTGCGAACGCGAAGCATCCCTACATACGTCCGAGCTTCGTTTTTCCTGTCTGGTCTGCAGTGGGCGTGGCCATGGAGATCCGATGGGGCGGACGACGCTGCCGTGCTCGTACAAGCTTCGCGCCACGTTCATCGATCTGGATGCTGCCACCAACGTGCACGGACGCCCACCCCGCGCTGGCTTTCTACATCAACTCGACCGCTCGTCCAACACCTCCCCTTTTTCTTCACCACTTCTCTAGACTCTGATACACATTCAGGCATGTCAATCCCCGCCCTCGCCGATGCCGAGCTCCAGGAGGTGCTTGCGTTCACCGTCGCGCTCGCGCGCAAGGCCGGAGAGCTCATCCTCGAAGGATCGGCCGTCATTCGCGCGACAGGTGCGGTCGACGAGAAGAAGAACGCGGTCGATCTCGTCACCGAGTACGACCGTCGCGTAGAGGAGCTCGTCGTTGCCGAGATCAAGGCGCGCTACCCCGGCTTCAAGTTGTGAGTCCTTCGTCTCCTCCTCGCCTACACAATTCCACCGATGCGCGTACAGCATCGGCGAAGAGACCTCCAGCGCGCGCGCCCCGATGACCGAAGAGCCCACGTTCTGCGTCGACCCCATTGGTGAGCCCCCTCCTCCCCCCATCTCCCATATTGCGCGCTGCGCGCTCACCCAGCACTCCCCGCGCAGACGGCACGACGAACTTCGTGCACGGCTTCCCGCACGTCTGCATCTCCCTCGGGCTCATCCTCGGCAAGCGCCCCGTCCTCGGCGTGATCTACAACCCCTTCCTCGACGAGCTCTACACCGGCCTCCGCGGTCACGGCGCCTTCCTCGCGCACCCCGCCACGCGCCCCGCCCTCGCGCCCGCACGGCTCCCGCTCAGCGCGCCGCGCCCGTTCCCGAACCTGCAGGGCGCCCTGCTGGGGGTCGAGTGGGGGTCCGACCGCAGCGCGCCGCTGATGGACAAGAAGGCGGCGAGCTTCACGCGGCTGGGGGGCAACCCCGCGGAGGGCGTCGCGGGGGGCAAGATGGCGCACTCACTGCGGAGCGTGGGCAGCGCCGCGCTCAACTATGGCCTGGTCGCCCAGGGCGGGCTGGACGTGTACTGGTGAGTGCGCGCGGGGTGCATGCGCTCGGGGGGCCTGCGGGGGACTGATCGCGCTTCGCCGCGACGCCGGCGATTAGGGAGATCGGGTGCTGGTGAGTGCGTCGCTCGCGCGGCTCGAGGGCAGGGATCGCTCAGTGGACAACGCAGGCCTTGGGACATCTGTGCCGGTGCGATCATCGCGCAAGAGGCGGGCTGCCTTGTCGCTGGAAAGCACGGCGCGCCCTTGGACAACGACGTTGACGAGGAGATCCTATGGGGCCGCAAGTACATCGTCATTCGTGCCATCGGGGACAGTCCGGTGCGTGAATACGCGTCTTTTCACGGGGACTGCATTTGGACCTCCTCACACAGACGGAGAAGGGTGTCGACGCGCAGAAGAGGCTGGTGAGGGAGTTCTATGACACCGTCGAGGACTTTGACCCTCCGGCCCCCAAAGCATGAAACGCAGGAGCGGCTAGAGTCTTGATGTACGATACACTTAGAATGTGCTGAATGTACATAGTGGAAAGGAGTAGTAGCTGTTGCAGAAGGGATTGACTTTGATGGTGAGGGTAGACTGGCGAAGCAATGAAACAACCAGCGCGACTCTGATAGAGGACCTGAGACCCTTCGACGACGCGAGTAGATGCACGCAGCGCGAGCGACCTGCAGGTCCACATCGTCGGTGGGGCGAACGCCCAGCATCACCAAAAGAAGTGTACGACTATCTCGCCCTCTTCAACCGGCATGCGTCCGAGATCCACATACATCACTCACCGAAAACTGGGCAGAGACGAAGCTGCACGCATTAGACATGTCCTCCATAGCCCCCAAAGCTTACAATGACTTGGCGTAGATATACAGCGTTGATAGTGAAGGTCCATCTACATGACATCGATGATCTCCTTTAGCCTCACTTCGTTGAGGATCTCGAAACCATCCGTGCGAGTGACCTAGGCGCGGTGTTAACGACGAGCAAGTAATAGGTGACAGAGTACGCACCTGAGCCATTGTACATTGTGGTGGTCGAGCTTCTCCTCCATCACCTGTTCAGACTCTCAAACAAGGATTTGCGCTTCTTGCAGGGTCATTTGCTATCGAGGGGTGTTTGTATGCAGTAGAGGGGAGAGATAATATATACTCACCTTGTGCCACTTGTCCTGCAGCTCACTCTGCGCCGCCTCCGACCCCGACCCGATCGCCTTCGCGTCATACCGCACGAACGTGCCCGAGGGATCTGTATGGAACCTGCCCAACCCCCATCCACATCTCGCATGCCTCAAGAATCGCGGAACACTCACATTGCGGCCCGATCTCGTCAATGCCGCGATGAGGAGCGCGACGCCGAACGGCCGACTCATCATCGCGTCCTCGTCGTGCACGCTCTCGCCGAAGCGGAGCGCGAGGTCGCACACGGCCTGGGTGACGCTCTCGACCTTGATGCGCTCGTCGTAGGTGAACGCGTGGTTCTGGGCGGTGACCCGGGCGTGGTCGATCATCGTGCGCGCGTCGGCGGTGAGGCCGGACATGGCGCAGCCGAGGTGGTTGTCGATCTCCATGATCTTCTCGATGGAGGAGGACTCGAGGAGGGGTGACTGCACGCGCTTCTCGACGCCGAGCACGACCCCTTCGGGTGTGCGGACGCCGACTGTCGTTGAGCCGAGCTGTGGAGGGCGTAAGAGGCGGAGTGGAAGAGAGACGCTGTTGCGCACCTTGATAGCCTCGATGGCATACTCGACTGCACATCCGTGAAGTCAGGAAGCGAGTCGTCGCAATCGCAGCTGGACGCACCCTGGAAGAGACGTCCTTCCGGCGAGAAAGTGTTTACACCACGATCTGTGAATCTGGTTAGACGATACTAGATGCGTACAGGCAGTCACCGTACCATATTCTGAGCGAGTCAAAAACATGGTGTGGCCGGACGAGAGGAGAGTGGAGGACGATGAAGGAAGGAGGAGGCTTGCGTACTCGCTCGCTCGCGGGCCGCGTTGAGCGCAGGCGCGGAACGCGCGTCGCGTGCGGTCACATTTCGTGACATCTGTACCGTTTAAGTTTGGCGTAATGATATGCATGTGCTCTCTTCTAATGGACTATGTTTTCGATGTCATTCGGTATATGCAGTGATATACTGCTAAGTAGTATGACGTAGTCTACCCCCATCCCCCGCGCCAGGCGCCAACGTGAAGCATCCACTGGACCTACGACCGAGCTTCGTCCGCCTTGTCTGGTTCTGCGGAGGGCGCAGCTGCAGGTGTGGTGGGGCGGACGACCTTGCCGTCCTCGTACACGGCCGGGCCGCGGGGCATCTCGCCGATCGTGTCCTTGGTGGCGTCGTCGAGCGCGGGCTCGTCCTCGTACTTCCACTCGAGATCGCCGCCGTACGGCTTGGGCAGGTCGCGGGGGTCGATGAGCGTGCGGAGGGCGACGCCGGGGTCCTTGCCGAGAACGTGCACCTTGCGGCGCGTGCCTTCGTCGAACCAAGGCTGTGGGCGGTGAGCGCGCGGTGCTTGGTAATCGCGGGGGGAACCGGGGCGCGGGGCAAGGACAGGGACAAGGACGGGGAGAGAGGAAAAGGGAGGAGAACAGAACAGAACGCGAGACCGGGGTGCGTACCTTGATCCAGCCCCAGACGGTGGGGAAGAAAGAGGGCGTGTTGACGACCGCGATCGTGCTGAGCGTCTCGGGGTAGTTGGCCGTCGCGAGCGTAGAGGCCTCCTGGAGGTGGGCGCGGAGGGACCAGAGGAGGGAGAGCGATACCTGGTCGAAGTCGATGATCGTCGTCACGGACGAGATCGGGGTCGGCGCGGTGGGGTGCGGGAGGGCGGAGCAGAGGCGGAACACGAACTTGGTCATGCATTCGTACAGGACCACGCTGCGAGGTCGTTGGTGAGCGGCGAGAGGGATGCGGGGGCGCGAGGACGTACATGCGCTGGTAGCGGCGCTCGGGTGGCGCGGCGCTGAGCTCCCTCTGGATGGACGGCGTGAGGGACGCGATGCGGTACACGTACACCGGCAGCCCGTTCTGTGGACGCGAAGGAGTGTGTGCGGGTGGGTGAGGGTGGGCTGATGGGGCGGAGCGGAGTGACGCACCTTGTCGCGCCGGCCGGTCCAGCGCGGATAAAACCTGCGTGTAGACTCCAGCTCGTCGGTGGGGAAGTTGGCGAAGAGGGTGTCCACGTTGTGCTTGGTGCGCCATGCCTCGGCGTCGGCGAACTGCTTCATAGCCTTCTGGGGCTCGAAGCGGCGAGCGCGCAGGAAGCGGCTGTGGCGGGCGATGTGAGATCGAGGACGGTGGAGGGACCGGTAGCGGGTGTGTGTTGACGTACAGGAGAGTGGGCTCATCGTGCGTGGGCGGCGCGGCAGCGAGGCGGGGGAGTAGAGGCGTGCGGTGGCGAGGATGGACCTGAAGGAGTCATAGGCGGCCTGCTGGTCTTGAGTAAGGTGGTGGAGTGGCCCGAGGTGACGTCGGGGACAATGGTGTTGCCGCGGGAGGGCTGGTCGTCGGCGTTGAAGCCACGGAGGAAGGAGGACATGGGGCGGGCGGGCGAGGACGGGCGGGGGCGGGACGAGGGAGAGGCAGTGGCGAGACGGGCGATTAGATTAGATGGGGCGAGTGGAGAGATGGACCGATAATGGGACACGGCACGGCGGCGCGGGACGACGGCTGCTCGCACCTCCCCCGCCAAGTACTCCCTCCCTCTCCCTCCCATCGTCCGCCGCACGCACACCGCCATGGCCCCCACCACCGTCGCCATAAGCGACTCAGTCCGCTCTCCCAAGCAGCCCCCCGCAAAGCTCCGCTCCCCGTCCCCGGCCCCCGCCAACGCGCGCGCCGCGTCTCTCGCCCCGCTCTCCCCCAAGGCTGCCGCTGCCGCTCGTCTGACCTCCCCAGAACCTGAGCCGTCGTCGACTCGCGCGACACCGGCCCCGGAGAGTGCCGTGCGGCATCCGAGGCACCGTCTGGCGCGGCCCCCTCTTCCGAAACAAATCCCGATGCGGCTGATGATGAGGTCCGTGCCCTATTGCTGCTCCTGCTGGCCAGACACTGACTGTGGCGCGCGGCAGGCGGACTCGGAGACGTGATCGATATGAGACATTCAACCAGCTACTCGATCTCGACGAGGACGAGACACACGACTTTTCGCTGGGGATGACCGAGGCGTATTTCACACAGCGTCGACGACATTCACTGATATGGACGAAGCATTGTATGTCCCTGGGCCTGCTCTGTGTTCGTTGTGCGGAGGTTGACAGATCGTTTTGTCAGCGATTGCAAAGACCTGAAGAAGCTCTCCGCGCTCGGGCACTTCCTCAAGGGCTCGTCGGCGGCGTTGGGTGTGTCTGCGGTGCAGGCAACATGCGAGGACATCCAACACTATGGCGCGCTAAGAGACGAGATCAACAACATGGACCTGACGGACAAGGAAGCGCTGGCGAAGATTGAGCCGCTGCTGAAGCGGGTGAAGAAGGAGTACGCGGTGGCCGAGCGATGGCTCCAGAACTGGTACAAGAAACACGTCCCGGAAGACGCCTGAGGACGGCGAGGAGAGGGGCGGGAGAGACTGCGAGGATGTGCGTGGGTTTCACGGGCGAGGGCTACTGCCGCTGACGGACCGTCGTGTGTTGCTGGGGTGCGGTGCTGGCTGGCGCGCGTGGTGCGTGTCTCGCCTTCTCATGAACAGCCTAGGCTGTCTGCCTGGCCGGCGCGGGGGCAGGAGCTTGAGGCAGTCGGCACGAAGATCATACCTGGTATGTGGGCGAGGCCGATTAGAGGGAGAGAAGTCGAAAGGAGTAGTGTATGTTATCGCCCGAGACGAGGCCGCAAGTCCTGTGCCCTTCCCGTGTCCGTGCGAGGGATGAGGCGGGGGAGCTATGACATCATCTTATCCGACCGCCCGCAGTGCGTGCTTGGCCACCCTCCGTCGTCCTCGGCACGCCCGTGGCCCGCCCCGGCCAGCCTTCGCACCCAGCCCGCGCCTTCGCCTGGAGGCTGGCGGTACACTCACCGAGGAAAGCCACCGATTCACCCAAACGGAGGGCTCGAAGCGCACTATGGCGCAATCAACAGTCGCTCGTTGGACGCGGATCGCACCATCCGCAGGACACTCGCGCGACTGCTTCAGCCTGGTAATAGAATGCGAAACACGACCGATCGCCGTCCGGCACACGACAGCGAGCGGTCGACCGTCGACGGGAGCAGCGTGCGGAGAGTGCTCGGGAAGTGCACGTGGGCGCGGCGTGGCACGACGCGCGGGGCTTGCGTCGCTTGTCCTCGTTCCCCGCCTGGGACGCTTGTCGACGGCTGTGACCGTCAGCCTGCTCGTTTCATTCGCCCAAGCCATCAGCGGACCCCCCGCCCCCGGCTTAAATATCGCCATCATGGCTTTCACCAGCCCGCTTCCTGCCTCCCTCTCGCTCGACCGTGAGTCAGCTGTCGGCTAAGTTGTGCTCTAATCGCCCGATGGCTCCTCACGCCCTTCCACCTTCGCCCCGCGCCCGGTCTGGAATACCTCCAAATCCAGCTACCCTTACCAGGCACGGTGCCGGCCCAACCCTGCTACATTCACTCCATCAAGAGCACAGCTCCGTCTTAAGCCTCGCCGCCGACGACTTTCATATCTACACCGGCAGCCAGGACGGCGAGATATGCGTCCGTCACACCCTCCGCAAGTCATGCGACATACTGACTCCCCCTTTGCCAGATCTGGGACAAGCTGACCTTCACGCTCAAAGCGGTATGGACCGGCCATACTGGTAGTGTTCTCGCCCTCGAGTACGCCTCGGACAGACAATGGCTCTTCAGCGCCTCAGGTTCGTCTTCTGACGTCTCTTGATCATTCCTTAATCGACACTGACCGATCCTTCCTCCAGGAGACAGCACCATTCGTGTGCGTTGTCGGACCGGCTTATTGTCCTCCCCTGTCTCGGACTCATCTCTCGATCGCGCAGGTTTGGGACACTCGAAGACTGTCCCCCCTCTACATCCTCCATCCGTTCCAGGAGACCGCCTCAGGAGACCTCTTCTCGCTCGTATGGTGCTCACAATCCCAGACGCTCTACTTTGGCTGCCAGAACACGTCCCTCCAATGGTTCTCGTTCGCCATCCCTACCCACGTGCCGGCCTACTTCACGTCAGCCTCTTTCGAAAGCGTCAGCTCAAGTGGCGCGTCGACTCCCACATCACGCAAGGCGCACAAGTTTTTCGACAGCTATCCCCAGTACACCCGCCGTCCAGCTGATCTCGGCGCACGCAATCCGACATGCTGCTCGTCCTCCAGTCCTCCTTCCACTGGCTCGAGGACCCCCCCAGATGGCTGCATACAGCAGGAATCTCCGAAGACGCCCCTTGCCGTGCTCCACGTTCCGCAGGAGAACGTCATCGATTCGGCGCATTATGGCTACGTCTACTGCATGGCCCACCTGCCAGGTAATCACGAGGGGTCCGACGACCCTCCGTACCCCGGCCCTGGCAAACGTCGTCTCCAGCTGTTAACCGGGAGTGGTGACTCCACAGTCAAGGTGAGCAATAATGTTGCGACCAAGAAAGCCACGAGTTGACGCTGTCCCTAGCAATGGAAGCTAGCGGATGACAAGTTTAGACCGTCGCCTCCCGAGCTCATATATTCGTTCGACTGCGATGCGGGTGCGGTCCTCACACTCGTTTTGAGAGGCGACACCGTCTACGCAGGGTGTCAAGACGGGCTGGTCAAGGTGTGGGATCTCGAGACGCACACCCTCGTTCGGACATTACTAGTGGTGGAGGTCGGTTCACGTGTCCGTCTTGTGGACTACAGGCCATCGCTGACGAGATCCAATACATAGAACGCAGATATCTTGTCGATGTCGCTTCTTCACTCGGACTTGTACGTCTGCTCTGCCAATGGCGATATTCAGGTGCGTATGTATGCTTTGTCTATGTCTACGTCACTCACCCTAGCCGCAGAGGTGGAACGCTTCCTTCGAACAGACCGGCTGTTGGCGAGGACACGACGGGATCGTTCTGTCCTCCACATTTACAGCCCTTCTCCCAGATGCCGCGCCAGAACAGCAGGAGAAGCACTTCCTCCTAGTCACGGGCGGCGGCGATGACGTCGTGAAGGTGGGCACACCCGTGCTATACCCCCTGCGCTGCTGACCGAGTTACTGCGACACAAGGTCTGGGACGTGGGCGCCCCATGCTGCCAGGGTCAGAATGTAGCTGACATTGACTACGCTGATGTCTCCAGAAGTATCAATGGTGATTTTCCTCCCCACATTCCACATCCACACATACTGATGATATCCAGATATCCTCGTCCATGCCTTAACAAAGTTTGTCTCCATCCCGAGTGTGAGCAATTCGCCCGCCACAAAGAAGACTGTCGCCAAGCGGCCATCTGGCTTCGAAAATGCTTCACGCAACTCGGCGCAGAGGCTTCGCTGGTAAGTCGATTTGTCCGCTTTCCGTCCCCGTGGAACGGCGATCTCACACGATCGGATCAGCTTCCAACCGGCGATTCTACAAATCCCTTGGTGCTAGCGACCTTCCACGGCACGCGGACGGCATCCGCGCGGCCGCGGCTGTTGTTCTACGGCCACTACGATGTCATCTCCGCCCTCCCGGACGGCTGGGACTCGGACCCGTTCGCGCTCACCGGCAAGAACGGGTACCTGTACGGTCGTGGCGCGACGGACAACAAAGGGCCCATCATGGCGATCGCGTGCGCTGCGGCGGACCTTCTTGCGCGCCGGGCTCTCGACATCGACTTGGTACTGTTGATCGAGGGAGAGGAGGAGGCGGGGAGCGGCGGGTTTGCTGAGACGGTGAAGCGACATAAGGAGGCGATTGGATCCATCGACTCGATTCTTGTCAGGTGAGCCCGTTCCGCGCGAAGACGTATCAGGCGGCTGAGTACGACGGTAGCAACTCGACGTGGATAGCGGAAGACACGCCGTGTATCACTTACGGCTTGCGCGGGGTCGTTCACTGTAACGTCGAGGTCAGTGACTCGGACTCTGGATTGTGCTCTACAGGCTGATCGTCTTGCACAGATTTCCAACGAAGGCCCCGACCTTCATTCAGGAGTCGAAGGCGGCGCGGCTCGAGAGCCCATGTTGGACATGTCAGTGCAGATGTGGACATCGTGCGATCGCTAGACTGATATGTTACTGCCGGCAGGGTTAAGCTTCTTGGAACTCTCACGGACGAGGCAAATTGCGTCGCGATACCGGGATTTTGTAAGTCCCAGTTCATTCCCTGGATATTGACTGCTGATTTTTCCACAGATGAGAGCGTGCGGCCTCTTACCGAAGAGGAGCGACAACTCTACAAGGTGCTCTCCAGCGTGACGCAGACACCGGCACACCTACTCTCTGCGCGCTGGAGAGAGCCATCCCTGACCGTGCACAATATCGAAGTTTCCGGGCCGCGAAGTAGAGCTCCATTCGCGTCTTCTGCAGCTTGAAATTCTGACCCGCGCCTTGACCGTTGCAGATTCCACCGTCATCTCGTCGAAAGTGCGCGCACACGTCTCGCTGCGTATCGTTCCAGACCAGGATCTCGCGACGATTGCGGCGTCTCTCCGACAACACTTCGCCGACGAGTTCAAGCGGATGAAGTCTCCAAACCAGCTCAAGGTACGCCCATTCATCGGCTCAGTTGTCAGCTGTCGATAGCGGGACTGACGGTAGATCGTAGGTCAGCATCGATCACACGGCTGACTGGTGGCTCGGAAACTTGGACGATCAGTGGTTTCGAGCATTGGAAGACGCGGTCAGGGACGAGTGGGAGGTCGAACCACTCAGGATACGTGAAGGAGGGGTGCGTAGAACAGACAATATGAAGGTATGGCCTCTAACGCGTCCCGCAGTCGATCCCGTCGATACCCTACTTGGAGAAGGAGTTTGCCTGTCACGCCCTCCATCTTCCCCTTGGGCAGAGCACGGTGAGCACAGTAGTACCAAGTCTAGGGGATGGGATGGCTGATGCTGCGTAATGCGCAGGATCAAGCACACTTGCCGAACGAGCGAATATCCCTGTCGAATCTGCGGCGGGGCAAACGCGTGGTGGAGCGATTCCTCACAATCGCAGCAGCTAACGCATGTCGATCATCGTCGTAGGGGCCTTGCGAGGTGGAAGGGACGTGTAAAATTGCACAATGGGCTCGAGAGTACACGAGGTTCGGGGACAGGAGGTAATGCATAGAGAACGGTAGGTACACACGATGTCCGACCATCCAACCTCCGCATAACTCGGGAACTTCAGAGATATCACCACGGAAGTCCTACAGATGAGAGGATGTCAGCGATGGTTCACGCGAAGTCCGAAAGAGCAACATATCAGGGTCCTTAAGCGTATAAGAAGGACCAGGGAAAATTGTCGTCTGCAAATCCGACTGGTGCACAGCAATAGAATCATCACACAAACCTAGCGAGAAAGATGCTCACCAGGGAAAAGACGCCATCGGGCTCGGCTCAGGGAAAATTGCGTGGAGATGGCAGTTGGGGACAAGGAGGATGTGGCTGGCCTTCGCGCGACATATTATCCTCGGTGGCCACCGACCAAACAGTTGCAAACACGTCCTCTGCGGACCCCGCCGCACAGTACCTTACCTCGCCCATACACTCCGCCGGCCTCTCGCGCTGCGTATCTTCCCTCTCAATGCCGCCATCCCCCCCACTTACGCCCTCCGATCATTTGGTCGCCATCATCGATTTCCTGAATACTCCGCTCGTATCCTCACTCTTCAAACATCATCCCAATCAACTCGGCCTTCCCTCATTCAACCCTCCGGCCGCATGGGAAGATTGGTGGCTCTGGGCGGGCACGAAGGATGAGGACGAGGACGAAGAACGGTGGCGAGTGCTGGTCTCATACTACGATGCCTGTCTCCGCCCCGTGATCTATCACGCCGTCCTTCGCATCCATCCCTCTCTCTCTGCGCGACGTCATCCACACCGCGGCCGTCTTAGCCCTGGATCGGACACCAGGGGATTTCCACTACCCTTCCTCTCCTGATACTGCCTCAAAATTTGAATGTCTGCTCCACTCCCGCGAGTCCGCTCTACCAAGCATGTCTCCAAAGAAGGCTCACGAAGTGTGGAGGATGACCACGCTCATCCACGCCATGCGGTCTTCGATGACTGCTTGCATGACGTGCGTCATGTCGTCGATATCGGCGCTGGACAGGTGAGTGCTCCGTTGTACGCAGTGCGGCGGTGGGCGCGGTCCTGACTGCATCCTCAGGCCTATCTCTCTCGAATGCTCCGGGATCAGCTTGGTCTCAATGTCCTGGCCCTGGACTCGAGCGAGACTCAAACGCGTGGCGCGGCCCGCATGGACACCTTGAAATCTGTTCGCCGAGCGCAGAACAAGCTCCACGCACCGCTCTTTGAAGACGGGTCGGCACCCCCAGCTCATCTCCCCGACAACAACCAGAGTCCGCGCGGTTCGCTGACTTATGTGACCGCTAAAATCGACACTCCGTCCCTCCTCTCTTCCATCGACGCCTGGCTGGATGATCGTCGAGAATCGACCACTGTTGTCAAGACCCCGGTTTTGTTCACCGCCTTGCATGCATGCGGCTCTCTGACACCCGACATCCTCCGTGCTTTTGTGGCCGCATACAAGGATTCTAGGGCTGCGGACTGGCGTCCCTGTGCAGCCGTCGTTGTGGGATGCTGTTACAACATGCTTCGGTCTCCAGGTGAGTGATCTTAACACTTTAATCATATTTGGATGCTCAACACCTGTCCGTATATCGTAGACCTACTGGTGTCCGAACTTTCTTGCCACTTCACACTGCCAGAGCTACTACCCAGCCATCTCCAGCTTGCGGCTCAAGTCCCATCTGAGTGGCTGCGGAGCGATGCCTCCATGCAGGATGCGTCTGAAGCCATCAAAAAGTTGCGTGGAGAGGGCTGCTTGAAGGCAAGCTTTCAGTTAGCCCTCAAGTTCAAGGCACTTTATCTGCAGTAAAATTGGGGAAGCTACCATCAGCTGCTTACCAGACCTGGGACGGATATATGGACTTTGTATATTGTAAGCTGGGGCAATCAGAAGTGCAAACTAGTGTTATAAATAGGCAGTTATACCAACAGATTGCAGTGTTTCATGTTATGAGGTGCATTCTAGGTCCTGTGGTGGAGACTTTGTTGCTAATGGATCGTCTGATCTGGATGCGAAAACAACTGCTTGTGAGTGTTATTGATTGTATCAAGGCATATCTAACTTGTAATTAGGGGTTTAACTGTGAAGCTGAGCTTATGAATGTCTTTAATCAAGCTATGAGTAGTGGTAGAAACATAGCGATGTTGTTATACTAGTATATGCAAGGCCTACTCTGGATAGAATAAGGCCAAGGCACTCTTATAAAGAAAGCCTGTATCTTTAAGTAGGAATAAACTAGAGGTGAGAACTTCTAAGTATGGCTAATGCCTGCTATTGAGATCCTGAGGCTGAAGTGTGGCCCATTAGCAAAGATGTGTGACTATATTGTGTACCCCTTTTTGTAATGACCATGTGAGCTCATACAAGTTAGTTAGTTGTTTGTAGCTATTATAAATGCTTGTGAGAGTAAATAATTGTAACACTTTACTAACATTCAAACAAAAATGTAGGGCACCATGTGTGAGGTGCTATGTTGGTGGTCACCATTTCAGTCAGTGGGGCTAAGCCAACTGTCTAAGAGTCAGCATACAAAAGCAGTAGCACCTGAGTGGGGGATATGTTACCTTCCTTTTTGCACCTAAACATATCAGTCTTTTGTAAAGATATTTACAAATTCATATGTGCCTTATATAAAGTAACACTTATACTGTCAAAACTAGATCAAAAATCCACCAGCCAAGCTGACTCAGGGAGATAAGACTCTGGCAAGAATAGTTAACTCTGGGCTCATGCATGCATGTATTAATACTTCTTCACATCTTGATTGTATGTTTGGCACCTCTGTATACATTAGTATACTGGCATCCTCTAGACATTAGCTCATTCTACTCTGTACATCTAGACTACCTTGTTTAATCCACTTAGTGTAGTTTATTGTACAGTCTAAGCTCTCAAGAGTATTACATATTGTCACACATAAATTGGTTTGTACATGTATTTAGGGAAAAACCTATCAAGTAACAGCTTGGTAGGGGTTGAGTGGATTAACTCACAAATGGTAGTGTAAGTGCCTCTAACAAACAACACTATCACTTGCTATGTTTCCAGATACTACTACCCCTTGCCTAATATTCGTGGCAATGGAGTTCACATCATGTCTACAAAGAGCTCTGTTGAACACAAGGCAATAACATTTTCTCAGTGGTGATGAGCATGCACAATAGTTCACTATACCTACAATACAGTTTAGAACTGTTATGTTGAAGTCCAAGTCCAGCGAGGGACGAGGCCTAGATGCGCAACAAGTCTTTTGAAGTCTAACACAAGTAAGCATGGTCACTATCAAGTGAACCAGTGAGCGAGCGAGAATGTAAGACAAGCATTCACCTTAGCCTGGAACTCTATGTTCTCAATGTCATTATGCAGTGGTGTAACTCATACTGTGAAGAGATCATTGACAGCCATGTGATTGATGCTGGCTGCTGGTGGAGGTTTCTCATCTACTACAGCTAGTACCAATGTGAGGGTGTTGTGGAATGGACTCTAGACTTGCCCTATGTATTATTTTTCGCCTTTTCTTTGCCTTTTCTCTGCCTTTTACTATATTGGAAGGTTGTTCCCACGCTTAAGCGCCTGTATCGCGGACTCACATAGCACTTGCACTTCGTGTCCTAGCCCTCATCTCGACCTCTTGGTCTTTGTGGGCTAGGTGAGTATCTCGATTGCCTGTATGTATATAGAGCTGTGTTAACTTGGTCGTTGTGGGCTGGACGTCCCCTGTGTGACTCTAGTTTGCATCTGCTTTGTGCCTAGCGCCGGTGTCGCCTCTGCACCATTACATTGAGGTCATCCACTGTCTATCCACCCCCATTCACCCCTTCCTCTCCCCTGATTGGCATTTGTGGTCCGCTCCCATGTCATTAGGTTGAGATCTAACTAATGAGTGCTGGCATCAAAGCATTAGATCGCCCCTACTCGCACAAGCATCGTCCCCACTCTGTGTCACTCATTCTGCTCTTCCTCTACCCTGCATACCTGCCGGAGCTATAAGGCTCTGAGTGTATCGCAGTATCCCTGGGCCTGTTGAGCTTGAGTACCACACTCTGAGAACACTACCCTGCTCCCAGCTGACAACTCTATCCACGCAGTTGGTCATTCTAACTGATTGGCTGTCTGGAAGCCTCAATAGGTGTCCACTTCCCCGGAGCGTACCCTGGTTCCTAGAGCATTGTGGCTTGTACAGGTCATCAGCATGTGGTTGTCACCAAAGACAATAGGCATGTCCACATCATCTGTAACGAGCAAAACAACCTCCTCTGGTGAGAGTGTAATAACCAACTGTGTCCCCACATCCGCACCTCTGATATCTATATAACCCGCAGAGCTACACACAATGAATCACACACTGCTATCCCACCACTCATTATGGATGCCTAGCAGTTTCAGGCCCTCATGCAGGCCCTCATCGTGAACTAGCAGTAGTTGGTTGCCAGACAGGCCAACCTTATGCAGGCGGTGACAGATCTGGCAACCACGTTCAAAAACCTGTCCACTACCCTCCCCCAAGCCATGACAAACACAACAGTGGCGTCTAATGTCAACACCCAAGCTACGAAGGATGCAACCAAGGTCACGAACAAGCCCCAGCCGTACAACGGAAAGACCAGTTCGGATGCACACTGCTTCGTAGTGTCCTTCCAAGTCTACGCAATGCAAATGAGCGGCCATCTGAACACTGCCAATGCCACTGGGGCTTTGATCACGATGATGCGAAGTGGATCAAGTTGGCTCTCACTCTCCTCACTGACGACACTGCGATCTGGGCCACCCCCTACCTGGAAACGATCGGTAACGGGCTGGCCATGTTCAACAACAACTGGACAACCTTCAGAGCGGCGTTCAAAATGCGATTCAAGACGGCCGACAAGGCAGTCAATGCGAAGGTATCCCTGCAGGCCCTGCACCAGCATAGCCTCTCCATCGTTGAGTACTACACGCACTTCAACAAGCTCACAGACAGGACCAGCTACAGCCAGACCGACCTCTGCGACAGGTTCTATGAACACCTCTCTTCGGAGATCAAGAATGAGCCGGTGCATACTGCTCGTGACACTACCACACTCCCCAACCTCGTTCAGGTCACTACAGACCTTGACATGCACATTTGCACACGCAAGGCCAAGTGTGCGTGCGGACAGGGAAGTCTGGGGTGTCTCTGACCATCCCTTGTACCACAACCAGGCAGTTCACATCTGTGGCAACTCTGCTGACCATGTGCACATCTCATGACCTAGACGCGATGGACATCAATGCTGCCAAGCTGAGCAAGTTCAGACGGTCAATGAACCGCAGGTGCTGGGGCTGTGGTGCGACTAACCACCAGAAGAAGGACAGCAACCACACAAACAAGACTTGCTGCTGGTGCGGAGGCCATGGCCATTGGGAGAACGTTTGCCAGAGCAAGGCGCTGGGCAGGCCACACTTGGGTGGTCAGCAGCGTGTTACAGCTACCACCGAGGACAGCCCAGTTGCGTCAACCTCAACGGCGAACCCCAATGTGCTGGGGATCAACGCGATCCTCGAGCAAATGCAGCATATGATGGAGCAGCAGAAGTACCTATGTGGCGAGCTTGAGCTGCTCCAGAAGTCTTTTCCGAATGAGCCTGCTTAAGAGCTGTGGCAGTGGCGCCCCCACCAAAGGTCTTTTCTTCACAAATCCCTGAATCTGTACCTAGAGCATATGATACAATAGATAGCTGTATGATACCTGAAGCAAATTGATCCGGTTCGCATTTTCGCACTAGTGTGATAGTAAAGGGAAACAATAAGAGTGTTAAGACCGCAGCAATGATTGATTCTGGTGCAACTTCGCTTTTTGTTAGTAAAAGGTTCATAGATAGGCATGGTATTTCAGTGCACCCGTTGTTCAAGGAGATCACAGTGCACAATATCAACGATACAAAGAACAAAACAGGCAGTATTACACATTTCACAAGGCTTACATTAGGTATGGGTACATATAGCGAGCGTCTCAATTTCTTAGTTACAGATCTGGGACCAGAGGACATGATCCTTGGCTTGCCTTGGTTACATGGTGAATCCGGAGATAGACTGGGAGAAGGGAGAGATGCGGATTGAGACGGACGAGGAGAAGGAGGAACAGCCTGCGTTCAAGCGTTGTCGGATGAACGGGGGTTGGTGATAGTTCCACACACACAAATCCTGGGTTTCGCAATGCTAGGGTTACTCGGCGGGACTAGGTGTTTGTGAGGTTTAGCTGTCTGGTTGAGTAGCCAATCACTACTCAAAACAAATAACCCAAGTCCTGGTTAGAAACAGTGCTCCAACAGAAATACTTGTTTGTTTTTTAGAGCGAGGGGTTCCCAATATGCAATGACCTATTCCGATCCTTGCCACAAAGCTTGCAGGGTTTCCTCTTTTCCAGCAGAGGCTTCGTCGAGTTCGGTGCAAGACTACAATGGTCGGGTTTGCACTAGTTTGAGGCCTCTTCAGTTTTATCAGAGTGTAGAATACTCAGTCAAGCACCAAGAGAGCACCTTAGAAACCGTGTGGTAGTTTCTTTTGTACTCTGTGTGAGTACACTGATTTCCTCTTTGTACTGTGTGTAGGTGTTCCGTACACCCGATACGATCTGCTGAGTCTGAGTACCTTACTCATACTCACACTAGTCCTTCTGACTAGTACTTGATATCTCTACAGGTGCGCCTTCGCCCTGCAACAATTCTTGGCCTATGCTGTATAATGTGCCATATGCGCTGTGCCTCACTTTTCAATAAAGCGGCTTTCTTACCTAACCGTGCGTGGGTTAGCCTCTCCTCTAGTAGACGTCTGTGTCTGCACTAGCTTGGCGCTTAACTCCTCCGCAATACCTGTGCCTCTATGCACTAGCTCTGTCTCACTTTTGAGACAGTGTTCTTAGCTGTAGTCGATTGAATTCAATCGTGAAATCTCCTATTCACGACAAGTGTCGCACTCCCAGCTCTCTACTCTAGTCAACTCTAGAACACTCCTGGTTCTCTCGTGAGTCCTGGACTAGTCAGTGCTTTGACTCTTCCACTGTATGATACGCCTATGCGTACTTCGTCTCTCAATAGATGGAACTACCTGCTATACTTTACCTGTACTTACTTTTGCTGCTTGCCCAAGTAAGGAGCTACTCCACAGCACCTTCAGAGGAAGGGATACTACCTAGATT